TTGTAATGATAAACATATGATAATTATAAAGATTAGCTTTGTCGATGATAAATCAATCCAATGACTGGTTTGTTGTTGGACGTGCTTTATTGTCAATGTTTGATTATTACAACAAGATACCTCTAGCAGTTAATATTACTTGTCCAAAGACTTGATATTGATGGTGCATTGGGTGTCTTGAGATGGGTTAAACCATTATTTGAATATATATTTTATTTATAATTATTTTTTTATATAATGTGAGCATAATTAGTTTATTTCTTTTGTTCTAATCCAGCTACAATTGCTTCTGTATCCGTCAATTTAAATTATGTTCCGATCCTCAAAAGTATGTTTCCTACTTTGGTGCGTTCGAAGTCAATTTAGCGTCGAGTACCTAGTAACACTTGGTGGTTAGACTCGGGTGCAACTACTAACATCGGTGTTTCTATAAAGGGTTGCCTAAGCTACCGGAAGCCAATTGATTCCGAAAGATGGATATATGTTGGAGATGGCAAATCGGTAGAGGTGGAAGCCATAGGGCATTTTAAATTGTTATTGAGTACTTGGTTTTTATTTGGATTTGAAAGACACTTTTGTTGTGCCGTCATTTAGACGGAATTTTGTTTCGAGTTTCTTATCCGGACAAATTAGGTTATTTATGTTCATTTGGAAACAATAAGTTCGGTTTGTCTTTTAATTCGGATATTATTGGAACCTGGTTCACTTTTGCCTTATGATAATCTGTATTTACTTGATACTTGTGACCACCTATAACGAAACCCTTAATACGAGAATCACGGGGTACTAAACGTAAAATTGATGATACTCACTCGGGAGCATTATGGCACGAGCGCTTAGGTCACATCTCTAAAAATAGAGTTGAACGACTTGTGTTAAATAGAATCTTAGAGTCCATTGACTTCACAAACTTTGATATTTGTGTTGAATGCATTACGGGCAAACAGACCAAAGCGAAGAGATTAAGTGCATATAGAGCTACAGACGTCTTAGAGTTGATACATACGGACATTTGTGGGCCATTTCCTACACCTTCGTGGAATGGTCAACAATACTTTATATCATTCATAGACGATTACTCACGATATGCATACTTATTCCTTATACATGAAAAGTCACAATCTCTAGACGTGTTCAAAACATTTAAAGCTGAAGTTGAAAATCAACTCGATAAAAGAATTAAGTACGTCGGATCCGATCGTGGTGGTGAGTACTATGGCAGATTTGATGGTCGAGTGAACAACGTCCGGGACCTTTTGCCAGGTACCTAGAGGAGTGTGGAATTGTCCCACGAGTATACCATGCCGGGATAACCTAACATGAATGGTGTAGCTAAAAGACGAAATCGAACTCTTAAAGATATGGTCAGGAGTATAATTTGTCATTCCACCTTACCAGAGTCACTCTGGGGAGAGGCACTAAAGACGACAGCTTATATTCTGAGCAGTACCAACTAAAGCAGCGACCAAAACACCTTATGAGCTTTGGGTCGGCGACAACCTAGTCCGAAGCATTTCCATGTGTGGGGTTGTCCAGTACGAGGCAAGGCCTTATAAGCCAAATGAAAAGAAATTGGACTCCCGAACGGTAAGTAGTTATTTTATTGGTTATCTTTGAAAGATCCAGGGGATATAAATTTTATGATCCCACATTAAAGACAATTTTGAGACGGAAGCTGCTACGTTCTTTGAGGATATTGAGTTTGGGGGGAAGAATAAAATCAGGAACTTTGTCTTGGAGGAAGAATCGGTAACAATTCCAGAACCGATTCAAACAGTTACTTTTGATAAAGTAAGTTCGGAACCTCCACAAGACATTGTTAATGAACCCCTTACTCAAGATGATTTGGTTGTTCATGAAGAACAAACTCTAGATCCTCAAGAACCTGTGCGCCATGAGCCGAGGATACTCCAGCTACTAAGGGAGACAAGTTTAGTTTAAATTAGTGCCCAAAGAGGAATTTGGAAATTGAGGAAATGCAACAGATTCCCCATGCATCAGCTATCGGGAGTTTGATGTATTCCCAAATATGTACGTGTCCAGACATAACATACATAGTTGGGGTTCTAAGCGGATATTTAAGCAATTCGAGGAATAGACCATTGGAAAGCGGCAAAAAGGGTCATAAGATATTTAAAGAGAACAAAAGATTATATGCTCACATACGGGAGGTCGGACCGGTTGGAGATCGCTGGGTTTTCGACTCGAGATTTTGCGGGATGTCAAGAATTTGTAGCATGCTATGAGGCATCAAATCATGGAATATGGCTGAGAAATTTTGTCACGAGGCTGCAAATTGTGAAAAGCATTGAAAGACCACTTAAGTTATATTGTGACAATAAATCAGTTGTATTGTTAAGGAAAGAGTACAAAGTGGACTGATTTCCATAGAACACTTAAGGACAAACTCCATGGTAGCATATCCTCTAACTAAAGGACTTCGCCCAAGGTCTTTCATGAGCATGTTGCTCACATGGGTGTTTTACGGTTTGAGGAATTTGTGGTTTAGTGGGAGTTAGTCATTTTCATATATTTTATGTTCTATGTTTAATTTTATATATGTATACATTGTTTTTTGGACATATTTGGTTATCTATAGATATGCGGTTTTCTTGTTCATTCATTACACTTTGTACATTAAGGTTATTGTATCGATCTCGATAAGTTAAAGTTTGGACCAGTTGAAAATAGACATGTACGAGATCACCTTCACGTAATTTTTCATGCTACACATTTCATGATGAATCCATGTCATTTGGTTATGTCGGGATGAGTAATCTTGTTGGTTTTAGTTGCGATGATGCAATGAAAAGCTGGTTTGGTTCTATATCCCGATATGATTAATGGACAAGACTTTTGGAATATGCTAAAGGAATATAATGATAATTTTGAGCTCATAAAGTCTAACACATTTGTAAGGTTGTAAAGACATATATATTTGTGACCGAGTGGGAGATTGTTGGCAAATTTTGGGTCATGTATATATATGATACATATTTAAATGTGTTAGGGTCATTATTTATTAAGCCAAATAATAAAGTGATCTGAATAAATTAAAGTTTTGGCTAAAGGCATATATCATGAAAATATGATTGTGTAGAGACCATTGAGTAATTTCTAATTTGATGAGGGGCCAAATTGAAAATACTAAAACTTAAGTAATTAACCTAATTTTGGTTATATAAAGGGTCATGGTCCCCTTCGAGAGCACACGCAGACGAGCGTGAGTTACGGTCCCGTTCCTTTCTCTCTATCCCCATCAAGAGAGAAAATCCACAGGGAAATACTGAGTGCTTCTTCAGGTGGAAGACCATAAGATCAAATCAAAGGTGCTTCTACAAAGAATATCATCATTATGGCTAATTCGAGTACGCTTTCGCATTTAGTTTATAACATGTTTACAGTATGGGATTATTGATATATGATTGATCATTAGAATGAAGATCATATTTAATTACGAGTTTACCTAACATTAATAACTCTTAAATAATTCTCATAATTTTAATAAATTTATAATCTAATAATCATAAAAAATCTTTACAATAAAATTATTTTATAAATTATATGAGTTAATATTTATTAAAATAATCTAAGAAGACAAAAAATATTAAAATTATTTTATTTAAATACATATAAATGTATGAAATATAAAATATAAAATATATATATTCTTTTACGAAAGGAAAATGTAATCAGTTATTTTTACGTTGGTCATATTTTTTTTATGTTTTTGAAAAGTTAAGATAAAAAAAAAACTACCATTCATATTTTTATTCAATATTTAAATAAAACAAGATTCTATCTTATAAGAAAAACACAAAGAAAGTTATATATATATATATATATATATATATATATATATATATATATATATATATATATATATATATATATAACCATACTTTATAATCATAAAATGATTTAATCACAATAAAATTAATTTATTATTATTATTTCATTAATAAATTTTTATTACAAATGAAACAGTTATTGATCATTTCTTTCATTTTTTTTTCTATTAAAAATGTATCACATTTAGCGAACTATTTTTTTTGTCGCGTGTCCTCGTATCTATTGTATGAAAGGGAAATCTTACTTTATTATTATTATTTTTTTATATCATAAGTAAGAATACACCAAGTGATTAAAGACATATAAATTTTTTATAAGTATTAGAATAAAAAAAACTTAATTTAATGATACAAAATTTATTTATAAAATAGATTTAAAATTGATTTAGATTATTATTTTCACTAATGGATATCTAATTTTAATGAAAAATTTCATCTCACATCTCCTATCAAGAAAAATATTCAATAATATAAATTTATTATGGATTTAGTTTAAAGCATAAAGTCTACATAATTTATTGTAAAGTTAGATGGTTTTTAAAAAATTTCAATAAATTTTATCAATCGTTAATCAATTTATAATTAAGATAAATGTGGAATCAATATTAGTAAAATAATATATATTAGTAGAATTTTTCTCATTCTATGTATTTATGTTTTTTCAGGTAAGAGTGGTTTTTATTTTCGATATATATATATATATATATATATATATATATATATATATATATATATATATATATCTTCAATTAAATATCTGATTCATTGTTTATTTCTGTGAAATATGTTTATCTTTTTTCGTAGCAAATAGAGTAGAGAAGAATAAAAGTACTAATGAAATTTGGGTGAGTGAATATTAAAGAAAATTTGCAAAAAAAGATGTAGTAGATTTGAAATAAATAATGATGTGTAGTGGTAGTAGTAGTGAAGGTTTTTGCTTGAATATTAAAAAAGGAAAGCACAAAAGAAGGAAAATGGAAAGGTAGAAACCTCAAATTTGTAAGTTCAGACAGAGAACGCACGTATTCCGCGCATGCACGTTGAACCGATTATAAAGCCTTATTTCATGCATCACAATTCACCCCCCATTTCCATCTACATCTACTACACACATTCAATTCACAAATTCCAGAGAAGAAAATTTAGAAAATGAGCTCTGAGCTGATTCACAGAACACAGACACGAGAATCCTCCCATCGCACCTCTTATTCGCCGCCTGCATCCAGTACCCCGCAAAAATCCATCAACCGGATCGGTTATATGTTGCGCGATCGCCTCCCGTTCCTCCTCGTGGGCGTCGCACTCGCCACCCTCTTCTTCCACGTTCTCCCTTCTCGATCCATCTTGGCCACTGCTCGAGACTCGCCCCTGGAGACCCAGTTGACTCTGCCAACTCGCCGGGTCCTGATGGAGGGGCCCATCGAGAAGAAGGGAAGGGCACCTGTGGGAGTTAAGGGCAGGAAGCCGAAGCGGATCCTGGTCACCGGCGGAGCCGGTTTCGTTGGAAGCCACCTCGTCGACCGTCTGATGGAAAGAGGCGACAGCGTCATCGTCGTCGATAATTTCTTCACCGGAAGGAAGGAGAACGTGCTGCACCACATGGGGAACCCCAACTTCGAACTCATTCGCCACGACGTTGTTGAACCCATCCTCCTCGAGGTTGACCAGATCTACCACTTGGCTTGCCCCGCTTCTCCCGTTCATTACAAGTTCAACCCCGTCAAGACCATCATATCCTTCATCGGTTACTATTTTATTTTCTAACACAATTAATTAATCTTCCTTATCAATAGATCATGTTTGAGATTAACTGCATATCATATGCATCATTAATTGATCAATTAATTAGTTCATGATGGATTGGATTGTTTGAAATTGGAATCCTTGATTCCTATGTGGTTCCTGGAGCACAAGACCAACGTGGTGGGAACGTTGAACATGTTGGGATTGGCAAAGAGAGTGGGTGCACGGTTTTTGCTTACTAGCACCAGTGAGGTTTACGGTGATCCACTTCAGCATCCTCAGTCTGAGACCTACTGGGGCAACGTTAATCCCATCGGTAATCTCAATGATTAGCAGTAGTATTTCAATTACTCTTTAAAATCTTGCACTTTTTTTTTTTTTTCAGACATGCACAATTAGAACCTTTTTATAATAATATACTACTCTTTCTTTCTGTCTCTTCTAATTACATGTAAGTTACTACGGAAAAGAAAAAATATTTTTACACCACTATTTACACAAACAACCCATTAAACAACTGTATTTTATATTATAATAATAATTTTAACTTTTTTTTATTAAATCTCTTCGATAAAATGAGTTGTTTTTGCAGTTATTTTCTGGTAAGGTTGTCAATATATCATATCATGGTTCTACTTTTTATCTCTCTTAACTTATGGTTGAATTGGACTGCATGCTACTGTGTAGGTGTAAGGAGCTGTTACGACGAGGGAAAGCGCACTGCAGAGACATTGGCAATGGATTATCACAGAGGCGCTGGAATTGAGGTTGGTTCTTCAGAATCTTACATTTTCTTTTTTCGTACATGACACGTATTTAATGTAGCTCCATAAAATGCAAAAAAGAGCTTCAACGTAGTTATTGTTGTACGGGTAGGTGAGGATTGCTCGAATCTTCAACACTTATGGACCGAGAATGTGCATTGATGATGGGCGTGTAGTTAGTAACTTTGTTGCACAGGTATTTGCTTTTCCTTTTTGGGAGATTATTTATTCGGTAACCGTTGCTTTTTCGTTCACTTTTTCCTACGTTTAACTTGTCACGCCAACAACTCTGATTCTCTACAGGCGTTGAGGAAGGAGCCATTGACTGTTTATGGCGACGGAAAACAGACCAGAAGCTTTCAATATGTATCAGACCTGGTAAATCTTTTTCAAGCCTTTTCTCAATATCAAGAATATAATGGGAATATTCGTTACATGGGTAACATAAAAAGGTCATATAACATTGATATGTCTCTAAGTCTCTTATTGGAGAGTAAGGTAACATCACGAATGGGGTACACTCCAAGAAAAGGCAAAGTACAGTTCATTTTTTTTTTTAAACACTAACAATGTAGTTTGTACATGATTGTTTAAACCAACAACAGCTTGAAAAGTAAATCATAGAAAGTGTTTAGAATGATCAAATACTGTCCCTTTAGTTTTTATTTCAAAACGTGGCTTTCCATCATGATGCATAAGCTGAAATTTAACGTTTGATTGATCTGAAACTTCAACTAAGTTTAAATAAAATACAGTAGCGTATTATATAATCTAAACTTGATTGTGTAAAAGACTAACATGCGCCTATGCAATATATCGCAGGTAGAAGGTTTAATGCGGCTGATGGAAGGTGATCATGTCGGTCCTTTCAATCTCGGCAACCCTGGTGAATTCACTATGCTTGAACTGGCTCAGGTATTTTATCTTATGTGAGCCTAACTGCTGTTAGAATTATGTATGCATATATAATAAGATATACATGATAGAAGAAGATAAATATGCATACATGGTAATATAGTTGTTGGAGTGTTTGGTTGGTGCAGGTGGTACAAGAGACCATAGACCCAAACGCAAAGATAGAGTTTAGACCAAACACAGAAGATGACCCACATAAGAGGAAGCCAGACATCTCAAAAGCGAAGGAGCTTCTTGGGTGGCAGCCCTCTGTGTCCCTCCGAGATGGACTTCCTCTAATGGTATCTGATTTCCGGCAAAGATTGTTTGCTGATGCAAAACTCAATGCGGGCAAATCTGTAGCATAGATTAATTTAAAACTTACCATCACTTAGAAAACATAATTAAAACAAAAGATTGGTGAAATAAACATATATACATGTATAACAAAATTGCCTTGAGTAGCTTATTTGGAATTACATTAATTACATATCTATGTATTAATTGTTCAATGAGTGAGATTTATATACCTATTGGCAGCAAAATAAACAGCATCCCTGCCAAGGGTACAAAAGATACATGTTTTTTTTTGTTGTATTTGTATGTGTTTCACAATCATATATTGCACAATTAATGTGTTTTGTCTTTCTTTTTCAGTGTAAATGGGGTCTTCTCGTATACTTTATCTTAAGCCCCAATATTCTATTAGATCTACGTTATCACCGTAATTAGACATTTATAGTATGTTTTCTCTCATATTTGAAAATTCATCTTAAGGCTCAATTCAGAAACACAAACTAAAATTAAGTATTAACAACGTACAATATTTATTTATTTTTGCCATTTATACAAACTGTAAAACAAGCAAATGACTGGCCAAACAATTATATAAATATGGCTAAATACAGTGCCTATCAACGGGTTAATGTATTTTATTTATCAAAATCTCTGTCACCTTAGTTAAAATTGTTTACACCTTTTGCGTTTTTTTTTTTTAACTACATATATATGGATTATATTTTTTACTTTTAATTGAAAAGGGATCTGGGATCACTTTAGCCACAATCTTCAACGTGTATCAATAAACTTCACAAATCAAAATCGTCGTCACTTTAAAATAATATATTGCAGTATTAGATTAAATAAGAAACCTCTACCAAACCAAGATTAGATAAGAAGGATGTCCAAATCATGAAGGTGGTGGCAGGAGTTTATTTTAAATAATTCTCATCCTTATCATCGTTGCTTTGAATCTGAGAAGTAATTCAAAATAAACCATATGACAGACCCACGTGTTGTCTGAACAGGGTATATGGGAAAGAATGAGTAAAATTTTCACACCAAAATGGTGATGATGATGATGATTTTTTATGAATCTATTATTTAGAAAGTAACGTTTTGATGTTTATAAAAACAAATAATAAATTAAACATTTTACTTGATGTTATTATTTTCTATCATACATTATGGTAAATTATATATCAATATTTTTAACTAATTTGTGCAAGTGATGTTTGATAGTAGAAAGATTGTAGGCTATACATGTCATATTTGATTGTATAAAAAATTTCACACAATTCATTCTCTTTATTTTGGTAGAAGATTGCTTTTGTTAAAGATAAATTTATCATGAGGTGAATATACTTGTTTAATGCATTTTTTACATCTAAACTATTTGTTTAATATAAATCTATTATTATTGTTTATCACAACACACACAACACAATGAAATTGAATGCAGGAAGACGTGTCATGTACTGGATGAAGCATGGATAAGGTGTTCCTACCAAATCGTTACATCTGGTTCCTTCCCCATCCAATGACGCCATACTGGTACACATACAATCACTATAATCTCTCTTTTTACTTGTTTATATAAAACCCCACACAAACCCTAAACACAGACAGAGAGAAAAGAAGACTCAAAGAAAGGAGTGGTGGCTGCTGCGAAAACTTAGTTTGTTCCAAAAAAATATTACAGTTTTCGCAGCAGCAAACTAATAAATAAAAACTCATATCATATGATGTCTCGTTCTCTCTGGCAAGCCAAATCTGTTAGTGTCATTGTTGCTCAATCTATCTCATTAGTTCCTGTTCATCGGTTAGTTCCAATTTTCAGAATATTTTCAATTTACTTGTCCAAAATATTCTTCTTGTTTGTGACCTACATATTATGATGCTATTATGATAGGAGAGGTTATGCAGTTGCGTCTGATGTATCGGTAAGAGTTCGTAGGCGTGGAATTGTGGGAGGTGCAGAAGAAAAGTCTGTTACAAGAGATGGTTCAAAACCCTACTCTGATTGGGCCCCAGACCCAGTAACAGGTGACTACAGGCCGATTAATCACATCCCTGAAATTGATCCGGTGGTGCTCCGACAGATGTTGCTTAACCACAAGTTCAGATCACCACAGTAGAGTTTAAAACGGAGCTGCCTCATAGTGGATGCCCAAATATCATCTAGGTTTTGGCTTGGTAGGGGTAACCTTAAAATAAAGTATGTTAAACAGTTCAAGTTGGAGTATTTTCAATGTACACTTAAAAACACCTTTACTTTTAGTCTAATCAAGACTAGGATATAAGTTTTTATAATATTTCTGTGCATGGTAGTGGGGATTCAAATTTTTTTTTTTCTTTGTGGGATAAAATTAAAATAAAATAATTAAATGTTTGCTTGATTGTTCTTATTGCCTATAAAAGAATCGAATGCAACATATTTCAGAAGTAAAATTTACAATTTGTCTGGATGAACATTACTTTTGAAGTTTTTAAAATCCAACAAAATTTATACATTCTCATTTGAATTGAATTTAAAATCTAAAAATACATGAATATCAAAAAACAGTCCTTAAATTTGATGTTATGAAATAAACAGGAATCGTGTTAGTTGGGTTGCACTTGTGGAGTTGGTCGGAGTAATTGAAAGCAACGAAGAGTTCAATCAATCATGATTCAGTTTTCAAATCTTACATGCATGTGTCATTTTGTACAAATCCCAACCTCAAGGACAAAGAACTATTGTCTCTTCAATTCAACTATTGGACCTACATTCCGAACCCTTTTATATGTATCACAGTTTTTTATTATCTGTTCCATTTTTTTATTTTTTAAACTGTCACTCCAAAATAATTTTCGTTTAATACCAAAACTGATTTGCAAATTATTTCCAACACTAATAATTCTCAAAGTCATTTATAAATGGTTCTTATTTAAATATAAATGACAATTAAAAGAATCAAAGATAGTACCATTAGCAAGAAAAGATGTTACAAAAAGCAACCACGGAATCTGTAAGCCATGTTCGATTGCTGAGCCCAAATTTAAGAAAATTCAAAATAATTGTGGATTCATGGGCCCGCAAATAATTATACAACTAAGTAAAGGTAGGAATTAGGGTAATGAAATGGGTTGAGATGACTAATCGCTTGATTCTTGAAAAAATTTGGGGCTGTTAAGTCAAATCTCACTAATAAATAACATTTAAATGTGTTAAGGTCAAGTGAAATCTCACTAAATTAATAAATAACAAAATGATTTTACCTTTAAATCTCACTAAATTAATAAATAATAAAGTGATAGACTAAATTAAAAAGTTTGGTTAAAAAAAGTTTGGTTAAAGACATATGTGATGAAAATAAAATTGTGTAGAGACTATAGAGTAATTTCTAATTTGATGAGGGGTCAAATTAGAAATATTAAAACTTAAGTAATTAATTTAATTCTGGTTATTTAAAGGGTCACAGTCTCCTTCTAGGAGCACACACAGAATGTAAGTATCGGTCTCGTTCATTTTCTTCTATCCCCATTAAGAGAGAAAATTAAGAGGAAAATAGAGGTGTTCTTCAGGTGAAAGACCATAAGATCAATATAGTGCTCTACAAAGACACCATCATTATGGTTAATTTAGGTACGCTTTCGCATTTAGTTTACAACATGTTTATCAGTATGGGATTACGTTTATGTTTGATCGTTAGAATGAAAATAATAATAATTAATTACAGTTTACCTATCAGTATCAGAGCAACCCATACTTGATTCATACTTGATTCATGTCTGTCTTTAGAAATTAAATTTAACAAAATTTAGATTTTGTTTAAATTGAGAACACTAGGTGGAGAATAATCTCCAATTTTTTGTAAACCTATAATCAAATTTGGGGGTAAAATTGCCCCGTGAGTTCAGCGTCACATTGTCGCCGGTGAGGAATCTCCGGCAATACCGCAAGGTTCCAGTACACGAATAAACAGGGGTATAGGTCAGCGATCAGGATCTCGCGAATTATGGTGGTGGTTCATGATGGGCGATGACGATACTGTTTTCGTGCTAGAAAACCTAATTCGCGTTCTAGGAAATACGATCACAATAAGTGTCGTATGCAGGTGGTGGACATCGACGACAAGGAAGTCAAGCCACAGATCTGGGACTCTGCGGATCATGAGTGTTTTCGAGTCGTCACTTCTGTTTGGTCTAATTCATCTTCCTCAACGTGTTCCTCTCAGTGCTCTTCGGAGTAGTATAGGGTATTAGGGAGGAAATTCATAGCGTGGAGCGATGGATCGCTTTTGCCGCACATCACTGCCACATTTCACACAATGTCTGGAAGAGGTTCATCAACGTTGTCAGATTCACTCACATTTCTGTTTCTAAAACACCTTAATTCTAATAATTTGAATGCGCTTTGAATCACGTGCACTAGTTGGAAAATTACCAATTTTTTGTGTTTTGTCAGATGAGTTGAAGTGCTAAGGTTTTTAGATATTGAAATTAAGGGATTAATACTTTTAATGGAAAATACTTGCGGTGGTTGTCTGTGCCATTATAAATTTTTTTTATAAATAAATAATCAAATTTTGGTTTTGTTATATAATATTCAAATTTTTTTGTAGTTTAATATTTTTTTGTGAGCAAATTGAGTCAAGAAGTTACCAAAGTAATCTCTGTTGAATTGGGTAGTTTGTGAAAAATATTGAATATTAGTGTTTGTGTATATTCATGCGAGTATTAGTTGACTCAAAGGAAGATTATTATTTGGCCGAATTGCATACACACTTGTAATGATAAACATGTGATAATTATAAGGATTTGTTTTATCGATGATAAATCAATTCAAAGACTGGTTTGTTGTTGGACGTGTTTTATTGTCAATGTTTGATTATTACAACAAGATACCTCTAGCAGTTAATATTACTTGTCCAAAGACTTGATATTGATGGTGCATTGAGTGTCTTGAAATAGGTTAACTATTATTTGAATATTTATAATTATTTATTTTTTATAATGTGAGTATAATTAATTTATTTCTATTGTTCTTAATTCAGCTACAATTGTTTCTGTATTTGCCAATTTAAATTCTATTACGACCCTCAAAAGTATGTTTCCTACTTTGGTATTTTCTGAAATCAATTTAGCGTCAGTACCTAGTAACACTTGGTGGTTAGACTCAGGTGCAACTACTAACATCAGTGTTTCTATGAAAGGTTGCATAAGCTACCGAAAACCAATTGATTCTAAAAGATGGATATATGCAAGAGATGACAAATCGGTACAGGTGGAAGCTATAGGACATTTTAAATTGTTATTGAGTACTGGTTTTTATTTGGATTTGAAAGACACTTTTGTTGTGCCGTCATTTAGACGAAATTTGGTTTCAATTTCTTATTTGGACAAATTAGGTTATTTGTGTTCATTTGGAAACAATAAGTTCAATTTGTCTTTTAATTCAGATACTATTGGAACTGGTTCACTTTTGCCTTATGATAAACTGTATTTACTTGATACTGTGACCACCTATAATGAAACTCTTAATACAGAATCACGAGGTACTAAACGTAAAATTGATGATACTCACGCAGGAGCATTATGACACAGGCGCTTAGGTCACATCTTTAAAAATAGAGGTGAACGACTTGTGTTAAATGGAATCTTAGAGTTCATTGACTTCACAAACTTTGATAGTTGTGTTGAATGCATTAAGGGCAAACAAACTATAGCGAAGAGATTAGGTGCATATAGAGCTACAGACGTCTTAGAGTTAATACATACGGACATTTGTGGGTCATTTCCTATCCTTTCGTGGAATTGTCAACAATACTTAATATCATTCATAGACGATTACTCACAATATGCATACTTATTTCTTAGACATGAAAAATCACAATCTCTGGACATATTTGGTTATCTATAGATATACGGTTTTTCGTTCATTCATTACACTTTGTACATTAAGGTTATTATATCGATCTCGATAAGTTAAAGTTTGAACCATTTGAAAATAGACGTGTACAGACCATCTTCACGTAATTTTTCATACTACACATTTCATGATGAATCCATGTCTTTTGGTTATGTCAGGATAAGTAATCATTGTTGGTTTTAGTTGCAATGATGCAATGAAAAGCTGATTTGGTTTTATATCCTGATATGATTAATGGACACGACTTTTGGAGTATGCTAAAGGAATATAATGACAATTTTGAGCTCATAAAGTCTAACACATTTGTAAGGATGTAAGGACATATATATTTGTGACCAGTGGGAGATTGTTGAAAATTTTTTGGTAATGTATATATATGATACATATTTAAATGTATTAAGGTCATTATTTATTAAGCCAAATAATAAAGTGATCTGACTAAATTAAAAAGTTTGGCTAAAGGCATATGTCATGAAAATAAAATTATGTAGAGATCATAGAACAATTTCTAATTTGATGAGGGACCAAATTAAAAATACTAAAACTTAAGTAATTAACCTAATTCTGGTTATTTAAAGGATCATTGTCCCCTTCTTGAAGTACACACAAAGCGTAAGTATCGGTCTCGTTCCTTTTTTCTATTCCCATTAAGAGAGAAAATCAAGAGAGAAATACAAATGCTTTTCAGATGGAAAACCATAAAATCAATATAATATTTTATAAAGACACAATCATTATGATTAATTTATATGCACTTTTGCATTTAATTTATAACATGAAATTACGTTTATAATTGATAGTTAGAATAAAAATAATAATTAATTACAATTTACCTATTAGAGTTGTTCGTCTGGATTTTATGAAAGATACGATCAAAACACTAAGATTCATGTAAGAATGGTGCAATGTAATGGGGGAAGGGGGTGCGAAAAGAGAAGAAGAGTGAAAAAAAAAAAAATGATGGATGGAGGGAAATTGGAAGGAATGGTAAAAGTACAGGTGGTGGTGGTGGTCCATCTCACTCTGATTTAATTATCCGTCTACACTCTGCACTCTGCACTCTGCACTCTGCACTCTGCATTGGGCAATGATAATGACATTAACAGTGTTTCTGTTCCTGACTCACTCCCTCACTCACTCACTCACTCACTCACCTCATCACCACCACCACCTTTCCTCTGTCCCCTTCCGCTTCTGTACTTTCCCATCAGCGGCTCGTGTCCCCATCATGATATCATTCTACTCTTCTTATCTTCCCCGAATTCACTACTTTCTTTCACTTTTCCTTTCTCTTTTTAGCTCAATCTTTTTTTTTCTCTTTTAATACATTGCCCCATTAATCTAACACATAACAACCCTTTTTTCTTTCCTTTTTCTAAGAGAATAAAATAATATAGTATTATGTATTTTTGATTATAAAATATGTATGTTCTAAATTTAAAATATTATTATCATAGTGAATTGTCCTATAATATATATACATATAAAAATTATGATTAACTTCGATTTCGTAGTGTAGTATGAAACAGGTTGGTAAGGTGCATGAATTAAAATGTATTTTGTGGAATAACTGGAAAAACTAAGTTTAAGCTCCCAGGTAGCCTATGCATCAAAGGTTAACCGTAAATGCTCATGCATAAATATACTCGTAAAACAATATATAGTAATATCATATTAATAATTTTAGTGTTTTTTTTTTCAGTATATAAATTATCAAATTATCATTCAGCTTAAAAAAATCAAGTAGAATCACCAATTTATTAAGTTGTATGAAAATTTTAATTTTATCTTAAAATTTAAATAACTTCAAATAAAATCCTTTAAAACAATTCCATCTCTCACCGTCATTCTTCGCTAAAAATAAGTTTTTACGTATTATTATTATCTTATATTTAATTTTTTATATATAATAAAATAGAATTTAATTCATAGGATAAAGATTTTAATGATAATAAAATACCTATTTAAAACAAGAGTTTAATAGGAAAGATGAAATTTAATTTTAAAATTTATTTATTTATTAATATTTAAATATTACTTATAAAAACATATATTTTTAAATATAGAAGCAGTATTCGGTCCCAGAAATACTGAGTTTCTTTTTTTTTTTAAACCGTGACTGAAGAAAGTTTTTTTGGTTAAAAAAGAGTCCATCAAAGTACCATGGCCCCATTACCCATTCCAACAAGTGAATGCAACAAAGGATGCGTTCTTACAAAATAGTAGTTTGAATAATTAAATTTTCATTCATTCATCCACTTTATTCATTGTTTCTAACAATATATTTTTATTAGATAAGATCAGCAGCTACTATTTATGACTTAAATGTTTAATTTGTTATAAATTATTACCTTAAGAGCTATTGTGATCTTCACCAAGTGACAAATAACACATTCTATTTATAAATGAATGAAAAAAATATTAAAAAAAGAAAAAAATATATAAAAAAATAAATAATTGTTTTTCAATTTATTTAGTTATTTTTTTAATATCTAAATACAAAATTAAATCGACCCAAATATATATATATATATATATATATATATATATATATATATAATATTTTAATTAAGTTAACATAAATTTAAAAAAATTTAAAATTAAAAAATTAAAATTACAATTTATCTGGTTGAAAAAAGGAAAAAGAATAGATATTTAGCTTATAATAGGAGAATGCATTCACTTAAAATATTGATTTTAACTCTCCCAATTTAATAATTACAATTTTGAGATGCAAGATACTCATCAATAGCTTATTGTTTATAACCGAAGCACGAAACAAAACAATTAAATTCATTGGTAGAAAAATTCTACTTCAACCAACTTGGCTCACTAATGTAGTTTTAAATTATTTTTGTATGCTTAAAATACTTTATAGGTTTCTTTAAAAATAAATATTTTAAAAAAATGTAAACTAGATCTTTATTCGTAATAATGATATATAAAAAAATATTACATGATGGTTTTAAAATAGTATTACATATACATCTATTGTAAATTTGTTGTGTTGAAACCATTGTTTTTATCAGTTTTGTCTTGTCTATTCTTATCACTAATAAAAAATTAAAAAGTATTTAAAATTATAAAATATGTTTATGTGATGGTGCGATAGTTATAGTTGAATTATGGTATGTTTGTTTCTACCGACGGAAAGCTATGAAGAAAATAAATGGATGGAAAGTTGGGAAATTGATGCAGAATATTTTATTATTTACAAAAAAATCATCCATTTTCTTTATGCAAAGAAAACAAGGGAAACACATAAAAACACTACATAATAAATTATTTAAAATTAAATAATCAATTATATAATAATTTTTATTTTAAAAAATTTTAAAAATATATAATTATAATAAATAATTAAAAAATATAATAAATAAAATCATAAAAAAATACATTTCAAATGAGAAGACCTATCTAGTGACATTTCTCTATTTATTTTAAAAAAATTTAACATTTATATTTAATTTTGGTTTTTTAGTTTTAAAAATACTTGTAGAAATTATTTTGAAAACCTGTTTTTGAAATTTTTTTCTTTAAAAAGTGTTTGATAAATTTAATTTAAAAATTATTTTAAACAAAAAATATATATCAACAACTAAGGCTGAAGAAATTATTTTATTAACTTTACCGGGATCAAGAGGGACAATATTATAGCTATTTGTAAAAGCATGAATATTTTAAATAAAAATAAAACAAAAAAATTATTAGATTTAATTTTTTATAAAATAATTATCAAACTAAGTTCTTTAGTTTTTATAAATTAAAAAATAAGAAAGTATTTGTAAAACAATAAATAAACAAATATTTAAATTTAATAATTAAAATGAATTACTTTATCATACTATTAAGTTAAAAATGTAAATAAGAAAGATAGAAAATAATTTTTTTATATTTATTTTTAGAATATATGAAAATTATCGATGACTATCCAACCAAACCAATTTGTGAAGGTGTTTGAAGAAATATAGGACATATATGAATTTTTATCGATAGTAAAATATGTTGAGGATAAGTGAAAATTAGTTATAATTTTTTTATATTAATTTTGTATAAAATAATACAAAGTTTAATAAATGTGTAGTTCATATTAAGCATAATGACAACAAAAATGCAAGAAATGATGAAAGTTAAGAAGAAAACAGCAACAAAAACAGAGTTTTGGATTTGGATTTAACTCAATTATTATAAATGTGTAAACCTCAATTAACTTTATGTCCCGTCTTTTGTAATAGTAATGCTTTTTGAATTAGATTCATTATATTCCCACTGTTAAATCATTCGAGCCTTAAAAAGATTAGATATTTTCAATAATTTCCTAAAATGTGGAAGACCTTCGGAGAAATGACGAAGGGACAAGATGAATAAAAAAATAAGAAAGAGAGAAACATAAGTCAATAAAAATAGGATGACTAATAAAATACAATCATGAAAAAAAAAACAAAACAAAAGAAGGATTACGAAGGATGAAGAAAAGGAAAAAAAAAACACTACTAGCTGCCACCGCTTCAGAGTTCAGTGTTTTTTATTTATTTATATTAAATTTAAACTCAAAAATATTGATTTAAAAGAAAAAAAAAGACCTCTTATTTTATTGATTTCATAAAGTGTAGGCCAATTTTTAAGTTTCAACAACGGTCGTCCCGTGTTAAACTTAATTATCCTTCTTTCTTCGGCTTCCCCGTAAAGGAAGCCTGACATATGCAGTGATTTTGTCTTGTTTATGCATACTACTATATAACACATGAAAATTACTGTTTATTTATTTTTTATTTCAAAATAAATATAATTTTCACACAACAAAATTATACATATAATTTATATGACATTTCATTTACATATTCTCTAATCATATTTATTATGCAAATATGATTTTCCTCTAAAAAAATACAAAAAGTGGTGCATATTTATTATGCAAATATTTATTTAGGTTACCTACCTGTTATTGTCCACCAGCTATCGCTTTCTGATGGATTCCCATAAAAGAAATATAATTAATCCTCTAATCCTTTCTTCTCTTCATACTCGGCCAATACCCGTAGTTTAGACACAGTTATGCAATTGGAACGCTAGAGATATAAATGCGTTCAACAATTATTAGCTGCAAACTACAACTTTTGAATAAATGCCACTAAGCTCTATATCTACACCATCTACCTCAATTCCAATCCCCCGTCGGGGACCACTTCTGTTCCAATCATCTTGCATTCACTAGTTAAGGACCCCTTCTGTAAATAAACATGGACAAAATTTCGGAAGCTAAAACCACATTAATAATCATAACTTATTTAATAAGGAACAAATACATCATTATAAGTTAACAACTAACTAAATTGCATAAAACAGATGACATAAACTCGGTCAATCTCTCTCTCTCTCTCTCTTTCTATATATATTGTGGCTACACCACTCGCAAACATGTGTATGCATGTGAATAGTGATTCTGGCAAATAAAAAAAATTACACGTCTTTGGCCTAACACATGAGAGTGGAATTAGAAGGAGGACGCTACAAAAATTACAACGTGGTGTCACAGCTCAAACAAGCCACGTGATGACAGAGAATTAGATGCATCGAGATTTTCCTCCACTGCGTCCCTGTTCTCGAGCACACTCCATTCACTGCCACCAAGGCTTCTTCTGATTTGCGGATACTGACCATAGCTCTCATCTTAATTCCCAGAGTATGGAGAGAACGAAATAATGAAAGAAATGGAAGACGAATGAAGTTGAAAGTATTAGATTACTAGTAATGAAGGAAGATTAACACTCATCCACAAGATAAACGAAGTAGTAGTAATAGACAGTAATAATTAACATCATACTCGTGTATAATAAACCGAGTTAAAGCTCCCAATTTCTTTCCTTTGTTGTTGTTTCCTTTTCTTCTTTGCTCCTTCTGTTCTCAGCTTCTGACAGCAAGCAAGGAAGGTATAGCAGACAAGTTTGGCGTAGAATTCTTATTGTCATTGGCATCTCTAATAATATCTCTTCTATTACTCTCTTTAGAAGAGGGTTTGCCGCTGAAAGCTCTCATGGGACTCGCAAAAGCCCAACCCCAACTTCTACCCCTGTTATGAGACAGGGCCACACTCGCCGATTTCCCATTCGCACCATCATCGGCAGAAGAAGAAACCCAATAAGATGACGACGAAGACGATGAAGAAGACGAAGTCAACATGAACCCACTAAACAACCCTCCACACCGCACTCTCTCCTTCATGCAATGGTGGTGGTGGTGATCGCCGCCACGGCTCACGGCGGAAGCCCCACCACCCGCCGCCTTAGGCTTACCTTCACGCTGAGATTCCACCCTCCGGAGAGTGCAATCTCCGAACCCAGTAGAAATCCTCTCGAAGAAGTCCCCAGAGAAGCTTCTGCTACCACACCCAACAGATCTGGATCTCGAGACCTTGCGCTCCAAAGAAGAAGCAGAAGCAGTGGTGTGACTATTGGGGCTGTTAGTGTTGTTATTGCTGTGTTGTTCGACAACAATGTCAGTCTTGAGAGAAGAAGCAGAGCAAGGTTTTTCCTTGAGCTTGACAGAGCTAGTTCCCGCTGCGGAGTTAATGGTTGAGATCCTGGGCGTGTTGCCAGCGTTGCCGTCTCTGAAGCTCTTGGAGTTGAGTTTCTTGGATGATTTGGAAGAGAGATAGAGAAAGGACCAAAAGCCGTATCTCTTCCTGGGACTAAAATCCTCAATGACAGCGTCGTCGTCGTCGTCAGCGTCGACCAAGGAGTGGTTTCTCCGGGGCGTGGCGGTGGACTTGCTGCGCTTGAGAACGATGTCGGAGGATGCATTGGGTGAGGGTTTCTTCTTCTTCTTCTTGGAGAGGAGAAAAGGGAGGCGGCTTCTGCGGGCGTAGTAATGGTGGTAATGGGAATGGTTGCGGGGGAGGGAGGAGGAGGAGGAGGAAGGGGCTGGGGCAGAGGTGGCGGTAGGGGGGAGGGAAGGGCGTGTGGTGGAGGAAGAGGGTGCGAGGTCGGATCTGAAAGAAGGGGAAGAGGAAGAGGAGGAAGGTGCGTGGATAGGGAGAGGAAAAGAAGAGGAAACAAGCTTGCCAAGCTTCTCTTGAAGGCAGAAGGCGCAGATACCACCTGGGTTGTTTCGGAAAGGGTGGTCGGTGCATTGCATTCCGTCAGCCATGTCGTGGTCCTCCCCCACCCCAACTCTTCCTCCTCCTCCACCTCCTTTCAAGGGTTCCATCTGGATGATGCAAATCGTAAAGGAGAGAGAGATGGTGAGAGGGTGTAATTGAGTGAGGATGAAAGGAAATAGAAAAGTGGTAGCATTGAAAACAGCACAGGGAGAGAGAGAGAGGGGGGGGGTAGTGTAGGGTAGTGGAACAGGGGAGACTCCCCAGGAGCACGTGGAAGACTGACTTGGTGATGTATTAAAAAGAGTGAAAGAGACAAAGTAAGGGAAACCAAGCCAAGCCAAGCCAAGCCAAGCCACCCAGCCCCTACTACTCAATAATATACTATTACTGTTACTATTCCTCTTAATTATTATTATCATTTCACTTTCATTCCCTCCACAATTTTCAGATATATTTTCTTCCTCCTCCTCTTCTAAGAAAGAAATTTCCACACCAAAACCTTCTTGCTTCTCACCCTCTCCCTATTATCTTTTCCCACCCCTCCTCTACTGTTTAGGCCAACATGATCTTTTAACATTTACTATTTTGTATCCCTCTATCCTTCTAATATCTGTGGACCTTTGGTTAAAGGAAAAAGACAAAATAAAAAATCACATTTTTATTAAAAGTAAAAAGAAAACTTTTCTTTCCATTTTTTTTCAATATGTTCTGTAAGGACGAAACAATCATCCAAACTTAATAAACTACCCAGTTAATGTCCCAATATCATCATTCCAACCAATTACCTTTATTCTTTTGTCTTTTTTCTCTTGGTAAAAAAGGTCTGGATAGGTGAGAATTTGAGAAAAAAAAATTTGGATAAAAGATTGTAAACAAAAATCTTAAAACAACCTTTTTGGTAATGATTCATAGTGTTGTTCAGTAAGTAATGGCAGTAGAATTATATGTAAGTTTCGTATTAATAGTGTATTTAGAGTCGAAATTGTAAAGATAACTATTTTTATGGAAAATTAAAAAACTTTATACTAAAATTTATTTTGAATAAAATGTTTAATATATATAAATTCATGATAATAATTTAATTATTTAATATTAAAATTATCAAATTTTATCCAATAATAAAAATATAAAATTATTTATATATTTTTATCTATATTCTGTTCTCGATTTGTTTTCGAGTGAGATATTGTCAGTTAACTTGATTAAAATTGAAACTTTATTAATTTAATATTATTTTTGCATTGATGGAAACTTTGATAAGGTTAAAGTTTATTATTACTAATTTGTTTAATTATATAAGATTAGTTTCTTTTGTATAAATTAGTATTATGTATGGGTTGATGTTTATTAAAGATTTATTTTTTCAAATTTCATCTAATATACAATTCATTTATTGATAATAAATAATTTTAATTAATGTTAATAAAAAATTTCAATTAACATCAATCATAGTGTCTGTCACAATATAAGTAAGAATTATTTATTAGCTAACACAAATAAAGATTTCTCAACTGGCATGGACGTAATAATTTTTTGTAGTAAATATAGGTTATTATAATATTTTTTTATTAGTATGGACAAAAAATAATATTTAATGAAATCATTAAAATTATTTATCTATTAATATAAATTAATGGTATTTTTAATTAATATTTGTTACAATTTAATTGATGAATAAAGTTTTTATTAATTATTTCGTATGTCTATATAGATTATTTTTTTTCACCTGATTGACTAGTATTTATATGATAATAATTAAAACAATAAAACTGAAGTCAATTGGTTGGAACAGTAATTATGAAAATGGTTGAAATTTGAATAAAAATCCAAAAGACAGAAGACAAAGGCAAGGACATGATGATAAAAATAAGGAGTTGTTGATTTTATTGGTGCTGTATAAACAAGAATGATGATAATTATGATGAGAAGAAAAATATGGACCCTACTTTGAAGTTATGTTCCATAATAAATTTTGCATTATTAAGCCCGATGATAAAGTAAGGACAATAGCAAATCTTTTTAATTGCATGAACATAAACTCCTTCACAATTTTGTTTAAACTTTCTTCTATCATACAATCATGGCTTGGTGAATTGATTTGATCTAAAACTTTTACAGTGACTAGTAAGAAGTGTAATGCAAATATGTGCATTATTCTTCTGTGTACTCAACCTTTTAATAGAACATTATGATCATCCTCCACAAACTCGATATTCCTGTGGGTGTTATGGGGAAGAAAATGATGAAACTGGTTCTAAAAGTTTGGACACAAAAACGGTATGTAATGTCTCAATAATTGTTTGAGGAAGGACAGGTATTCTACGTGATGGATGAATGTCCCAAAAGTTAGCTTCATAAAGTAGAAATATCCATCTCAGGAAGTGAAAAAGGAGGACCACAAAATTTTGTGTAAAAGTTATATAGGTTACATATAGTAGATGCCACATTTCTATTCATCGTAGGCACAAGCAGACACCAAAAAAAGATTGTGCTACCCAATCACATTAAAATATTAAATGAAATTCTCAAATTACTATTTTTTTTTATCTTCAAAAATATGTTATTGTTAACACTGTTTTCTCAACAAAATAAATCAAATCAAACACCAAAAGATATTTAAAGCTAGTTCAACAGCCTTATCATTATTAATCATGATGCATCATTCGATTACTCTATACATTCATTAACTTAACTAAACCTTTTAATCACAAATTTATTATTTGTTGAAGATTGGGGAGATTATGAATCTTTCAAATTAATAACCGGATAGGTACGTATAAAGGATGCATATTAACTTATTTTTCAAAATATATTTTAAAATATAGGACGTTTATATTAAAAAACTACATTTTTAAATACATAATATTTGTAAAATTTAATATTGTAATAATTATTTTTTATCAATTATGTTTCTGTATTTTAATTATATTTATTATAAACAGAAATGAAAAATTAATTAAAAAAAGTTTAATTGGAGAGAAAATATTAATAGAGAAAGATGAATAAATTTACTAAAAGAGCAGATAAAAAAGTAAATATTATTAGAAAATAAATTTAGTGCGAGGATATTTGAGATATGAGGGTAATTTGAAAAAGAAAAAAAAAAAAATAAAAATATATATATATATATATATATATATATATATATATATATTTCAACGATGCGGGGATCACAAACAGCTTCTCCACCTTCATAAAGATCTTCAACTCCAGTCAAAGTTCACTTTTATTTTGCCACAAAACAAGCCAATGAAAGTTCCACACGCATCTACCCCTATGTTAGTCTACCTCAATATCTGCAACTTATGTCAACTTTCTTACATCAATTAAAAAGCTTTTGTGACGGTTATGAAACATGTATATTTTGCAGTTATTTAAATTTCTCCAAATTAGAAGACTAAAACATATATTTAACTATTAAATTTAAATAACGATATGTCTTTTTCATCTTTTCCTTTTTCTACCATGGATAGTCACACCCTCAGGCATCCACACTTTTTTCACGTTTTCATTGGACAAAACACTTAAAAATCTCTGTTTCTTTTTTCTCTTCTTGCCTTATTCTCAACTATATTTTTGAATGATTTTTTTTTTCTCACCTGTCACTTAAAAAAAAAAAAAAAGAATTTCGCAAAAACCCATATTACTCAGAGGAACGGAGTTAGTTGTCTGTTGTGAGAAACGTGGTTAGATGTGCCAATTTTTGCTCTGTTTAACCAAATGCAAGTTGTACAGTTTGGAGTCTCTTCCTTTCCCTTTATTTGATTCTGATGTTGTCTTCCCAAATCCACATGATATTTCATTGAAAAGTAACTCTCACTCATGTCACTGTGTGTCCCCATCTATGGATTCTTCTTTATGATATTCAATCTTTCTTTGCAGTCCCTACCATTCTCTTCTGATCCCGCTTTCAGATGCTTGGAAAATAACCTCACTGGACCACTTCATCCAACCATGCTATGCTATGCTTACAAAAATGGTTCTACCATTTTAAAAGTAAGTAATTGATGCATAGGTGCATGTATTTTTTCCACTAAACATTGCTTTTCCTCAAACATATATAGGATTGAAGGTTTAAGATAATGATGATGTTGAGGACAAAAAATGATTGATAATTTTTCACATCTTGCAGGTGGAGGATATTACCAAAATGGCTGAACATGTTGGTTGAGCTGACAGGTCGCACAAAGCTTGTCTACCCGAAGAGAAAGAAGGATGAAAAATTTCTTTCCTTTATAATGCAAAGAATTATTAAGGTACTACGAAAGGCAGCATTATATGTTATTCCAAAGGAAGAAGTATACTGTTGTTGTATAGTGATTTTGACATTTGTTGAGTACAATAAACAAGTGCAAAACTACAGATTAGGGGAACATATATGTCTCTCATCACATGATTGGAGCCACCAAATTCTTCACGCCAATGCTTACTTAGTACTCCTCCAAAACAATTATTGGTTCCTGTTGGATAATCACACTATTTTTTCCTTATCTGATTGTAATATTAGAAATCTCTACTTTGTCAATGTGTTTAAGAAAAGGTTGGGTGAAAGGTGAATGGGTTATTAAATTCAGTGTGGGGAAGCTAAAAGCGGAACAAAAGGGTGGAGTTGTAGCTTTTGGGAACAATGGCAATGCCATTAAAAGCTTGCCATAAACGCAACAAAACAAACATGCATTTCACTTCCATGGATGGATGAAAATAAGTTAAACCTCTCCAACTACATTTTACCTGCACATCCGGATCTGCATAACTTCAACCTATTTCTTCTATTTTACTTTTCTTTTCTTACTTTTCCAATCTATTTTACTTTTATCTTATACTCCATTCTTTTCTAGATTTAAATCTAACTATAATTTTTATTGGTTCTATTGTTCACAAAAAAAACTTTTGGTACCCACTTTTGTTCGCAACTTATTGAAGGTGTATCTGTATTTTCTTGGGAGATTATTTGTGTTGTGACGCTTACCAACGTTATTCTTTTTCTCTACTTTATCATGTATCCAATCTTCTGAACTCTTCTTTTCTTTGTTTCACTTCCATTGTCTCTGTGCAGATAATAAAGGGTTAAATTATTCACCTTTCCATACTTCAAATATATCTATTTTAGTCTCTAAATGTATTATTTTAATTCATTCTATACCAACTTTAAATTTTCTTAACTTGAATAATCTACTCATGGTAATCAAATGAAAATAAAGTAGTATTCATGAAAATATATAGTTAAAAAGGAAAGTTTATTCATACTTTACCTAAACAAAATAATAAAACTTAACTTTAATAAAACAAAAATATGTAATATTGGAATTATTAAATTTATATGGCAGTTGTGTAATTAAATATATTAACACTAACTAACCTAATCAAATTACCACGAGATGAAACATGGAGTGTATTTTTTTATAAGAAAAAAAGTGTGAAAAAAGAAAAAATATATATAAAATAGAATAAAAAATATGTTTATTGATGTGAAGAGAAAATAATATAAAATTTGTTATTTTAGAAATAATTAACAAATTAAAAATAAATATTTATAAAATTATCCATGTATTTATTGTACAGAGATACGTGAGAAATATTATTTTGAAAAATATTACATTTTTTATATATATACGAATGAAAAATGAGACAGGGTAAAAAATAACCTTAATTAACGAAAACAAAATATTTTTTTGTGTGATTGTATTTTATCAACTTATTTTGTTAATATATATTTATTCTTCAAATTAATGAATGGCGATGGATAATGTTTTTAAAATAAAAATTTATATTTTTGTCGTTTAAATTTGTTTTATGTTTTAAAATAGTAATTTAATTTAGTGATAAGATGAAATATCCATTCCAAGAACCTTAAGTGGAACAAAAATAGATTTTTATTTTCTTGAACGTAGACACAGAATGTTTAGAGTAGGGTAACATATTTTGGCTGCTTTGCTCCGAATGAGTGACATGTTTTCTCAGCTCATGGTTTTATCAGATATTGCAGAATGTCTTGGCATTAGACAGAGTCATATTCTTGTTGTTGCAGTTGAAATGATGGAGAGTGAGATTGGTGAAGAATCAATCCATTGTGCATTGTCTTTTGCAGTGATGGATGTTTTTATTACTTTGTTGAAGATGATTCATAAATTTTTCATTATCATATGCTAGTAGGTTAGCCAACAACCAACTCATTTATGAACTTGTCTACCTCAAACTTATCATCATTGTACTTCCGTTCAACCCAGCCCCCACTCCCCCTCTCTGTGCTCTCTGCAATTTCTTCTTTCTTTCCTTTTTCTCTTTACCCTCAAACAATTTTTTTATTTTTCCTCCTCCTATTTTCTTTACCATTTCATATGTTGTTTTTCTTTTTACAAGACACTACTATCAAACCTCGTACTTTGAATGGTTATTTAAACTCTCAATTACTGAGACTGTGTGCTTCGAAACTTGTTAAAACTCAGTTGAATGATCTTCTTTTACTATATCAGACTTCATTCTTTTGAGGATGAAAACTTCATCACCTAAACGGAAAGATATCACTAAAAACAATTTCGAAAATACTATTTTTAACCCAAAACTGAATTCCCTTCTCTTGTAAAAATATTTGTTTAAACTAAACATTCACTAACAAAAAATTAATTGCGATGCAGAAAGATAACCACGTGAGAAAGATAAAACGTAAAAAATGAACTAGTTAGTTGATGCTGTAGCATGCGCAAGCATTAATGTTCATTCAACTTATATTTCGATTAAAATAACAAATTTATATATTCCAACATAAACTTATACATTTTGATAGAATAATAAATTGAGGGGTTTGGATACTCATTCGTGATATACTATTTGAAGTTTATTTTAATTTATTATTTTTAAATTTGCAAAATAGTCCCAATTCATCTGTTTCCTCCATAAGTCTCATGACCATTTCACCTACCTCCTTGTCTTCACTGAGTTTTGTTATGAGATTTCATGTGAGAGAAGATTACGATTTGATAATGGCTGGTTTTGAGAGACTAGAACCACCACGCCGATGACACAGATATGGACGATGATGGGAAACATTGAAGATGAATATCAATCTCAAATTAAAAAAAAAAAAAGGGTAATTTTGCTAAAAGACGACTTTAAAAATGTACGAAGTTGTTGAGAAAAAAAACTGTTGAACAATTTGTTGATGATTTTGAAAATAATGTTTTTTAGGAAAAGAAGAATTAAAAAAAAAAATTATGAAGACACTAAAATAACTAAATATTTTTTCTAAAAATAAATAAAATTTATTAATTTCAGTTGCCTCAAACAAACAGTCTTATCTTTGACCAAACAATTATGCTGTTCATATATTTTCTCATAAAAAATTCAGCTATTTCTAAAGTCACCACTATATTCCTACCGTTTCGGAGAAAGGAAAATTCAATCAAGCAAATACGTATTGAGCTATTCATTTATTACAACCGTGAATTTGCCTGCTCCACAGTGGCACTCTGCAATATAACAGTAAAACATCCATTAGAGGGCAATACAAATGGCAAATGAGGGTCAATAACATCACATTTCAATGTCGTGAAACCCTTATTTTCTTAGTTTATCTTATATTTTGTTGTTTATGTATGCCACTCTTTTTTGCTACACAAAGCAGTTAAACCATAATGTGGATTCATCATATTTAGAAGGTAAATGTCAAAAACACCATATATAGTCTATTATTTTAAACAACACTTTCTTTTAAACAACTGTCTGTTCTTAAGTGTACAACACCGTCAAGATGACGAGTTTATGGCCAGAACGAATCTTGAATATTGTACTCCGAAGAAATACAAATGAATATGTTGGTTATTTCCTGATCATTATTTAATACGAGGAAGAATAAAATTAAGACTTGTTTGCTTTACTAGAGTTGAAAGGAGATATTAAAGTGGAAGAGTTAACTATTTTGGCCCTTATTCAACTTATATATAAATGGTTATACTATAGCACTACCAAGTATAGACAAATTCCAACAGACGATCTTGATTTTCTGGCCACAGATGCAAATCGTTAGTGAAGTGCCCTTTTGATCTCAAAATTACTTCAATTTATTAACAATCCTTGAATAACATGACAAATAGTTTTACACGAATGAAATGGAAAAACATGGTCTTAGGTTACTCACCAGAGGAATTCCTTCGGCGGCTCTTACAGCCAAGTAGGAACAAGGCTTGAAGAATTCTCCGTACAACTCTGACCATTTCTCCAATTTTGAATATATGTACTTGGATCCAAGAGTGTCAGCCCAGAATATTATACCTCCTCTAATGAAATCAATTCCAAAATTTAGAACAAGTACAAAGTTTTCATAAGTGCCAACTAAATAACAAGACAAACCTGTAAGGTGGAAAACCCATGCCCATGACTGAGGCAATATCGAGATCAGCTGCTTTGACTGCAATACCTTCGCCAAGGACCCGACAAGCTTCATTCACCACAGGAAAGAATATCATCTCAATGATGTCCTTTTCTTGTAACTTTACAAGCTGTCCAGGGTCAGATTTACAACATCATATCAAGACGAACTTACAATAAATTTTGACTTTAAATTGAGCTTCCTCACTATCAAAATGAAATAGGAAGGGTTTAAAGACCTTAGGATCAACGGAGACACCAGTAATGCTCCTAGCCTTCTCAATATAGTTTTTCAATTCAGAATCAGGACTAGCCTTGCGTTTATCATCATACAAATAAAATCCTTTCCGAGTCGTTTCGCCTGTTAAACAAAGATGGTCAATGAATTAGTTTAATAGAATAAAATGGAGCATATCACTGTGATGTAAATATTTTCCAATATATATCTGTCAGAATTCCAATTGATTCAGAGTTTATTTATACCAGCTCTCTTATCTTCTTGAAGAAGGGGAATGAGCATTGATTTATAAGTTCTCTCAGGAAAATTCTCAATAAATTGCATGCCAGTAGCAATCGCCACACCAAACCCAACAAGGTCAACCAATCTGCATTTGTAAATAAGTGTCAAATCATGCACTTCAAAAATGGATGGAGAATATCAAGAACTCATCGAATCACTATTACCTAAAAGGCCCCATGGGCATTCCAAATTTGCTTATAACTTTATCAATTTGATAAAAATCTGCACCACGTTCAACAAGCAAGAGACCAGCTTGTGTATATGGGAAAAACATTCTATTAACAGCAAATCCTGTGCAGTTTCCAACCACCACCGGAGTTTTCTTTATCTTCTTCGAAATATTTAACACGTCAACTATCACTTGGGGAGAGGTATGGTTGGTACGCACAATTTCCAGAAGTGGCATAACATGTGCAGGACTAAGGAAGCACAAATCAGATACTTATTAGATCAGCGTAAAAAATAATAACCAAATACAAGATATCACCTGAAAAAATGGGCTCCAACAATTCGATCTTTAGACTTGGTCCTCTCTCCAATCAGGTTGAGGTCAATTGTGGAAGTGTTACTTGCAAGTATACAATGAGGTGGACAATGCTTTTCAACATCAGTAAAGATCTGCTGCTTTAAGGAAACATTCTCAATAACAGCCTGTTCATACAACAAACACCAAAAAAAAGTTCATAGTTTCCCAAGCAATGGATAACATGCAGCCATGATCCTGACGACAGTAAATAAGCCAAGGTTATTTTGGAGTTCATTATACAACCTCTATCACCATGTCCACATCTCTGAAGCTTTCATAATCAAGGGTACCTTTGAGAAGAGAGACTGCCTTTTCAAAATTTTCTTGGGTCAGTTTACCTTTTGTAACACGGCTCTGTAAGTTTGCTGCTCATAGGGGAAAAAACATTAAATGAGAACAGGTATACAGCATCACTTATTTCTTAATTAAAAATGCAGTGTGAATATGTACCAATGCTTATCTCACCTTTAATTCTATTGATACCAGCATCTAAGAACTTGTCATTTACTTCTTTCAAAATGACAGGATAGCTGCTAAGAATTAAAGCTGTTGCTATTCCAGAGCCCATTAGTCCTCCACCAAGGATGGCAACCTTCTTAACATTTCTTGGAACCAGACCACGATCAGTAACCCCAGGTATCTGTTCATGTCAATTGGTGTTGGGAAATTGATATCCATAGAATTTATACAAACATTTAGCACTGAGAATGAGGCTAACTAATGCTGCTTCACAACCATATTTATCTTTATAAAAAATGGATTGAACATCCGACCTTTACCCAATCCCAAAAGATAGATCAAGGACGAAGGATTGCCCAAACCTTAAAAGAGGATTCTAACTATATTTCTATCCAATGTGAGGCATCTTAACACCCGCCTCACCTCCATATTCTGTTGTTTGGCAATACAAAATTTATATAGTAAATCTATGTAACATTTAAGCTTTTGATGTAGAATGTTAGAACACATTTTTAAGATAGAACGTGAACACTCTAATAACTAGTTTTGTCACTCGAAGGAGGAGAAATAAGAGTAAAATTAAGATATAAAACCCCAACAAACCTTGGACGTTCCTCTTTGAGCAAAAAATATGTGAATTAAGCTTTTGCAAGTATCTGACTTTACAAGTACTTCAGATGCTTCAGCTTCCTACAAAGATCAAAGGCAATGTCACCAAATGTTTCTGCAACATTAATATGAAGGGGGGAAATACTGGAGACAGATAACAACCTTCCAGAGTCCTGCCCGGGGACCAGCAACTACTCCTGCTTCAATAACATCAATGCAAACCAAAGGATGCTGGAGGTTGGGAGCCCGTTTTTGAGCCTGAGCTCGAGCAAATTTCAAAATCTCTACTGCTTCTCCAAGGGGTTCTAATTTGTCAGTCTTATAAAGAGTAGCGATCCATGGTCGCTGATGGCCGACAATATCCAAGGCCCACTGTCGTGCAGCTTTCACCAGATCATCAGGTGACACCAAACCATCTACAAGCCCCAAACTAAAAGCTTCCTTCCCTTTAACTGGCTTAGAAGTCTTAATTTAAGACAAAAAAAAAAGTGGTGAAAAAATTAATTGAAAATCACTGGACAAGCACATGGAAGTTACAACTCTTGAATACTTTCCTATAAAAACAAAAAACACGATTCAACTCAAAGTGGAGAACTGAACAAAAAACACGATGATGTTCAGTTCAGCAAAATTCAAAGATAGAATATTGAATATGCTGTTTGACTGATCACCAACCCTGACTTTGAAAACACCAGCTTTTCAGATCAGTTCTTCGCATTGAACAGAATAGAAGTTATAAAAAAAGAAGCATAAAATGTACAATACCAGCATCATCTCAAGTGCCTTTGCCAAACCAACAAGACGAGGAAGACGCTGTGTTCCTAAAATACAATTCAAATTTTAGGTCAACAATACTTAAGAGAAAATAAGAACAATTAGTCATAAGACATGCACTGTTACTCATGGTCTAACCTCTTTTCTTCTTCACATTTTTTTTTTCAAATTATGCTAGGCATAATTAATGTGCGAATTCAGGTATTAAACCAAACTTGTAGTTTTTTAATAAATGCATCAAAAGCATGTAAAACTTAAACTTCAAACTGTTTTCCTCAGTAACTCATGCCACTCAACAATGACCAGTATCAGTGGTTACACTTATCTTTTCAAAACAGAGAATAAAAAAGATGTATAGAGATGCATTCAATTTTGAATTCATACACAAAATACAAGTAAATTTGAAGAAAACAGAGAAGACTCAGTTTACTTACCTCCAAGTCCAGGAATTATTCCAAGCTGAAGTTCAGGCAAACCTAGCTGAGCAGTTGGGGTTGATAACCGAGCATTACATGCCTATGAGAAAGAATGGGTAATATTTAGTAGAAATTTACAAAGAAAAGTTTCTTTTTCCAAATCAGTTGGCAATACGTACCATTGCAAATTCTAAGCCCCCACCCAAGGCAAGGCCATCAATGGCTGCAACCAATGGCTTCCTAGCCGCTGAAAAATGAAGAAAAGAGATTTAACATAGCACAAAAAGGAAAATGAATAGCAAATAAAGAATTTCATAAAAATGACGTACCTTCTATAGTATCAGTGATGATTTCCACCGATAACCAACCAGGTTTTGGACGCTCTATATGAGGGGAGAGGAAAGAGTTAGAAAATTTCCATGAATATAACTAGATTAAAAAGACACTCCCCGAAGAAGTACCTTTTGGCTCTTCATCACCAAATGCAGAAATATCAAAGCCTCCAGAAAATTTTCCCTTTGCACCTGATAAAGTAACATAAGATTCAGTTACGATGCTGTAGCTACAAGCTAGTTTGCCAAGAAAAATCTTTGGTGAAGCCCGAAACTAGCCTGCATTCATTTCCCTCTTGTTCTGGTCAATACTAATAGAGCATCTTAGTTCTTTACAGTTTGAAAACTTCAGTGTCCATCAAAATGTCCCTATCATATCACAGGAGAAAGTCTAGTTGAGGAATGAGCGGATTGGTCATAACAACTACGAATTTCAACGCTTGGTCAACGAACTTTCAACTAGTTCCAGGATAACTGTTTCTTCAGATAAGATAAAAAGTTAGCACTTGGTTATTGCTAGCGAGACCATGGAGGATGAGGATTTGGGTAAAAGGTTATAGGCTCAAGTGGAGGTTGGTTATGAATATCATTCTCTTCTCCTTAGTTCAATTTACATTACACTTTTCCCTTGGAACAAATGAGTTGTCAGACATTCATATATTTTCCGCTGACCACTGCCAAACCATGGTACTTCTTTCAAAATCAAACCCTACCAAATGAGCAAACTAAAGTGTCGCCCCTTCGCAGTTATTTGAATAATCTCGAAGCTTATAAAAACAAATTGCAATACATACCTGTAACAACAAATGCCTTGACATCGTCTCTGCGTAGAGCCTGATCAAAGTGCTGCTTAAAACTGCGCAGTACTAGAGAGAGAAAAGAGACAAAGAAACAGAAGAATAAATTAGCAACAGAACATAGAGTATCTTCAGTAATAGAATCGGAAGGGTCAAATGTACCATCGTAGGAGAGAGAATTAACAGGAGGGTTGACGATGGTGATGACGGCAACCCCATCAGGTCCAACCTCCATGAGCGTGTGTCCTCTGCTTCCCATTGTGATGCCACTCGTTTGACTTTCCAAGAATCAGATTTGAAGAAGAAACGAAAATAAAGAAAAAAGAGAGAGAAATTGTGTTGAAGATGGTGATTGTAGAACATAAAAAACTCACATCACATCACATCACATCACATCAAATCGTATTTAGTTTTCATTAATGATTCTATCTACCATTTTATAACTCTTTTTTGCAGATTTGTTTAATTATGTGCTATATAATTTTCAATTACAATTAAAACAACATTAAAAAAAACATTTATTTACCGATTAAAAAATATTGGTTGCAGATAGAAATTTTACCGAGTAAATTACTATATATTAGTAATAATAACATATTATATAATAAAAAAAGGAACTTAGCCACCCACGTGTCAATATTTTATTCACTAATCTCCCGCGCAATTTTCATGTTTCTCTGATTCACCAATTTACTCAAAATCTGTGTCGTGACATTCATTAATATTTCCATAATGGATTTTAAATATTTAAAAGTCTATATATAATACTACAAATAACTATTTCTGAATCTCATAAACCATTTTAATCATTGAATAAAATATATTGATAACTCGTAATATTTTTAGCCTTAATTAACAACATTAAATCCGTTAATTTCATCCGTCAATTTTAGTGTCTTAACGATTTTAAATCATTGATATAATTAATTTATTAACCAAGTTAATTTGTTAATTTTAAGATGATGATAAACTATTTTGAATCACAATAAAAATAAATGATTTAAACTTTTTACTAAATAAGTGACTAAACTGTTAAAAAACTAAAATTATAATAAATTGTATGATATGAAAACAGACTTCCAAAACTTAAGCATGTAAGTGTCTATAAATTGGATTTTAATACATAATATTAGATATTAAAAAACACCAAATCTGTTAAGTTTACTTCATCAAATTGTTCAACTAAATATTTTATATTAATTACTTTTTAATTGATGCAAGCAAGAATGAGATGTTTGTTTAATGAGTGAAATAATCTTACAATATTAAATTATTATCATATTTTTTTATAAAGTTATATTATATTCACGTTTTTCTTTTCTATTTTTTTATCGATATTGTGGTCCAGTAATTTGAGTTCTTAAACATGTATTACACATTTTTAAAAATTGCCTTTTTAAAATAAATAAATTATTTTAGTATATAACGTAAATTTGATCTCAACACTTGATTTCGTGTCTTTACACAATTTTGTAGTTGTTACGACGAGGAAATAGACGATGATACACTTTATTCTTATTCTTGTTTCTATCAAATTTACTATTTAAGCTTATTTGTGAGGAGAGATTTAAGTAGATGTATTCTTGTTTGTAATTATAGATTTACATAGATTTGTAGGGATTTATGTGTGGATCCACAAAGTGAAAAACTTTAACATTTAAGAGAAGAAAGGTCTTTATTTACAAAAAAAATGGAATAAATTGTCTAAAATACTTCAAATACATAATCGTTTAAGAAGTGCATAATTTATTATGCCACCATTTTAATATAATTTTTTATCTTTTTATTTTAAAATTTAATAAATAATTTTTAGAACAAAAAAAGGTTTAATCATTTTATTGATTTCAATAAAAAAAATTAATATTACATTTAGATATAAAAAAATATTAAAATTATATTCAACTTTTTTATTAATTTTATTAAAATAAAAATTCATAAATAAATTACATTTTTAAAATATAAAAAATAAAATTTCTTCTTTTAAAATTAGATTATGAATTTAAAATATTATATTTATCAAAATCGATAAATTAAAAAAAAAACAAAACATAATGTTAAAATTAATATAACAATCACTCAAATTAAATTTTACCAAACCTAATTTTAGAAATAAAAATAATTTTTTTAATAATTATATCTCTAATTTTTACTTAATTTATCTGGATAATTTGATCATTATACTAAAAATACTGTTATTCAATTGTTCTCTATTCAATTACATCAATCACATAAATTACAATAAATTTTCTTAAATTCTTTTGAGTTTACTATTTTTCTTCCATCCAAACAACCACATAAATTCACTGAAATAATCTTAAATTCAGTCCCTGAAGTCCGGACCCCAATCCAAACATAAACTTAATATTTAATTATGCATTTATAAATATAGTCTTTCTATAAAAAGCATAAAAAGACAAATAATTTAAATTTTTAAAATGAATTCATCCAATAAATGTTAAAATTTTCAATAAATTATTATTTAATTATAAAGTGATTTTTTTACTTAAAAATTTTAAATGGACAGACCTATATACTATCTTAATAATAATATCTTCTATTATTAAAATAAAAAATAATATATACTATCTTCTAACAATATAGTAATTTCCAAATTCTTACATCTTTTTCATTTCAACAAAGTTCATGTTAATTAATCTGTTATTAAAAAAATACTATCTTTTGAACATGTTTTGCTTAAAATACATAAAAAGAATAAAAATAAGAATTACAAGGCATTTGATACGGGTTACAGTCCCTGTGGGAACGTGAGTCAAATTTAAATATCTAATGCAAGAGATTTGAAAAGAATATACATACTATATTTCAGTTGTAGTGATAAGGAAAATATTTGTATAAAAGTTTAGCGCTATGTATGTAGCACTACTAGATAAATTTATACTCAGAAAGGATTAATAAATTTGTTCAAATAAATTGTTTTTTTATTTAAAACAACCTTAAAAACTTTTGAAACTTTTTATTATTGTATTCTGACATCCAATTATTTAAAGATAAAAAGTTAGTAACATTATATTTAGCGTTTCCGAAAAAAATCTAAAATACTAAACATGCACCAACCAAATAGTAATTGCATAGAAATAGGAAATGGATTATTGCAATGCAGAAAATTTCTATACATTAGAAAGAAAAAACCTAAAAAATGAATTCCATTACCACCTATACAATAACCGCACAGACGAAACACATATCTAAATTAATTACTTTTATTTTGACCAAAGAATTATGCTGTTCAAATGTTTTGTCATCGTGCATTATTTAGCTATTTCTCAAGTCACCACTATATTCCCACCATTTAAAAGGAGAAAAAGGAAAATTCAACTATAATGAACTGTTTATTTCTTACATCCGTGACTTTGCCTGCTCCACAGGGGCACTCTGCAACAAAATAATACAAAATCCATTAGATAGCAGCAACAATGGCAAGAGACAGTTAGAATTACTATTTGGGAAAGTGATACAAGTTTTTTTCACAAAAACTTATCAAAAAATACTTTAAAAAATGTTAAAAACATAAATGACGGTATTTTGAGTTCAAGAAGCAGGCAGTAATAACATTCATATCTATGTGCTGTGAACCCTTTATTTTGTTTAAACTGATGATATATTTACAACTAATAAGTGATTCTCAAACAATCATTTTCCTTTTACTTGTCTTTATTTTTGTTGTTCATCAAAAGTGCAAATTTTGTGTGTGGATAAATTAAGAGTCCTGTACATTTATAGGAACCGAATTAATAAGTTCTTATGTTATGTATGGGACCGAATTGAGAATCACCAACTTATAGTGATTCCACTCAATTTTTGTAAAGAACTATATTATCTATACACAGCTATATTTTTAAAACATAGATTTAGAATTTAAAGATTTAATCGGAGTTCAACCAAATTATATAAAATAATATTTTTATAATATAACATATATAAAATAAATTCATTAGTTACAAAAAAAATAATAAAAATTACTATTATAATTACCGTAAATTATAATGAATTAGTAAAATGGATAATAATTAAAAAAAAGATTAAAATATAATAAAATAACTATTATTTTAGGTTGATCTTCAATTATGTTTTTTACCAAAATCGATTCAAGCAAAAAAATTCAACCGATTTTTCCGATTTTATCTCAATTTAGTTAAAATTCAGTTATTTTGAAGCAATACACCGGTTACCAGTTGAACTAACTGGTCCAATTTTCAAAATAGTGATACACAGTCAAGACAAAGAAGAATGCCCAAAAGAATCTGGAATGCTGTACACCAAGCAAAAGGCTAAATGAATACCGGTGTAAAGTGTTGGTTATTTCCTGAAGTGCATAAATTGATTTAAAGTTTTAATCATTACCTAATACTAGGAAGAAGACGACAATTTGTGGTTTGTTTGCTTTGCTGAGAATTTAAAGCAGTTAATAAAGCAAAGGAGTTTACTCTTTTTGCCTTTATTCTATTTCTAATAAATGGTACTTTAGTACCATATTGATGATCTTGATTTTCAGGCTACAGACCCAATGTGTTAGTGAAGTGCCCTTTCGATCTCAAATTTACCTGAAGTTTCTATCTTTTTGAGTTAAAAACAGGTCAAATATTCCTACAAAATCTAACGTGGAAAAGAACGATTTCCATACAATCCCAACCTAAAGCCAATGACCATATCGACATTGGCTAAACCATCCTAGAGTAACATGACAATTGTTTTGTATAGAATGACATGGAAATAAATGAGCATAGGTGTACTCACCAGAGGAATTCCTTTGGCAGCTCTTGCAGCCAAGTAGGCACAGGGCTTAAAGAATTCTCCATACAACTCTGACCATTTTTCTAATCTTGAATATATGTACTTGGATCCAAGAGAATCAGCCCAGAATATGATGCCTCCCCTAACAAAATCGATCCCAAAATTTAGAACAAGTACAAAGTTTTGATAAGTGTGCCACATGAATTATCAGACAAACCTGTAAGGTGGAAAACCCATGCCCATGATGGCAGAAATATCGAGATCTGCTGCTTTGACAGCAATCCCTTCATCAAGGACCCGACAAGCCTCGTTCACCACAGGAAAGAATATCATCTCGACGATATCCTTTTCTTGTAACTTGGCAAGCTGTCCAGATTCAAATTCAAAACATCAGATTCAATGGAAATTTACAAATAAATTTGACTTCAACGTTTGTTTCCTCACTAGCCAACAAATATGCTTTGGATTAGGAAGAGTAGAAAAGACCTTAGGATCAACAGAGACACCAGAAATGCCCCTAGCCTTCTCAATATAGTTTTTCAATTCAGGATCAGGACTAGCCTTGCGTTTATCGTCATACAAATAAAACCCTTTGCGAGTTGTTTCACCTGTTAGAAGTGTGAAAAACAATGATTGTTCAGGAATTAGTTCAGTAGAATATAACTGAGCATTTGATGGTTACTTAAATATATTCCACAGATATCTCATCAGAATTCCAATAGATGCAGGGTTTATCTTTACCAGCTCTCTTATCTTCTTGCAGAAGTGGAATAAGCATTGATTTATAAGTTCTCTCAGGAAAATTCTGAATAAATTGTGAGCCAGTAGCAATCGCCACACCAAATCCAACAAGGTCAACCAATCTGCAAAAGTAAATATTTAACAAATCGGGCACTTAAAAAATTGATTGAGAATATAAAGTACTTATACGAGCATTAATACCTGAAAGGACCCATGGGCATTCCAAATTTGGTTATTACTCTGTCAATTTGATAAACATCTGCACCACGTTCAACAAGCAAGAGACCTGCTTGCGTGTATGGGAAGAACATCCTATTAACAGCAAATCCTGTGCAGTTTCCAACCACCACTGGTGTTTTCTTGATCTTCTTTGAAATATCTAACACGTCAACTATCACTTGGGGAGAGGTCTGCTTCGTACGTACGATTTCCAGAAGTGGCATAACGTGTGCAGGACTAAGGAAACACAAGATGCATATTTAGATCAGAAAGACATAGCAGGGCAAAAAATAGTTTCTAAAGACAAGATACCACCTGAAGAAATGGGCTCCAACAATTCGATCTTTGGATTTGATCTTCTCTCCAATCATGTTCAAGTCAATTGTGGATGTGTTACTCGCAAGTATACAATGAGGTGGACAATATTTTTCAAGATCAGCAAAGATCTGTTGCTTTAAGGACACATTCTCAATAACAGCCTGTCCAGGTATCAAACATAAAAAGTTCATATTTTCATAACATGCAATCATGATCCTGATGACAGTAAATAATCAAATATATTTTGGAGTTCATAATACAACCTCTATCACCATGTCCACGTCTCTGAAGCTTTCATAGTCAAGGGAACCTTTGACAAGAGAGATGGCCTTTTCAAAATTTTGCTTGGTCATGTTCCCTTTCTTAACACGGCTTTGTAAGTTTGCTGCTCATCGGGGAAAAAACATTACAGGAGAACAGGTATACTTACTTATTTCTTAATTAAAAATGCAGATTGAATAGGAACTAGTGAGCGCCAACTCATAAGAATCTATTCTCACCTTTAATCCTATTGATACCAGCATCTAAGAATTTCTCATTTACTTCTTTCAAGATGACAGGATAGTTGCTTAGAATTAAAGCTGTTGCTATTCCAGAGCCCATTAGTCCTCCACCAAGGATGGCAACCTTCTTGATCTGTCTTGGAACCAGACCACGGTCGGTAACCCCAGGTACCTGTTCATGTCACGAGTTTCTAGCACTCAGAATCGGGCTAGCTAAACTTTCAAAACTGTGTTTACAAAAAAAAATAAAAATTGAACCTAACTTGACTCCAAAAGCTGGGTCAAGAAGGGAGGATTGCCCAAACATTATATGGAGTATGACTATAATCCTAGCTAATGTTTAGTATCTTAACATCACCCCTCATATCCAGGTCTAGGATGGCACATCTATAGTGTGTTTGCACGATTGAAAAATTGAAAGTGACTCAACATCAAGCCTAACCTAATCCCAAAAGTTAGCTTAACGTTGGTGGAATGCCCGAGCCTTATTCTAGCCAATATGCAACATTTAACAATCATATAAAGCCTCTACCCAGAAAACACCACTTTCAAACTTAAGATTTGCTTCAAGATGGGTTGGAGGGGGGTAATTGGAAATCACAAAGTAATGCTAACCTCATTTGAGATGAAATGTCTGTGAAGGTAAGGACGGTTGAATCAAAATGTTTTGAACCAATAGTGCTGGAATCGAAGTGTTCAAGAAAAGACAAAAACAAATGTGATTGTTTTAAAGCCTTACACACAGGTTTAATTATGTTGAAAACTGTGCAAGGTATCAAAAGGCTAGAAATCAGACAAGGTTGAAATGAACAATCCAAAGTTTTGAGAAGTTATCCTGAAATCTTGGGAGAAAGAATGAAAGGCGTAAGATACAGAAGATTGCCAACAGTAGGGAAAGGAAATAAAAAGTTTCTAACCAAGTAAGGATGAACATCGTGGGTCAGGATTCAAGATGGGTTATCGTTGTATCGAGAGGGTCAGGGTTAACACTTTCCAACAATATGCAAAATTGTAAAAAATTACAACAAAGAATAAGCACAGCCATTTTAAAATGACATACCCATCTATTGACATCAAGTCTAAACCTTACAATCGTTAAAAACGAATAAGGTTGCCCAAACAATCACTTAATGGTCATATGAATATATCTTGTTGAATAGAAAACAACATTTCAAACCCAAGCACTTGGGGAACCTCCTCTCTTAAAAGTTAGCTATCAGGGGTGGTGAACAAAGGCACTTAAGTACACCATCAAGCATTTGATACTACTATACTACAAAATGTGGGATTTATCATACCCCATAATATCCAAGTTTCGATCATGGCACTGCTCCTAAGGGTCGATGACCTGACAATTGCACTCTATGATGCTTCATTCATCTTTTTGTACTCAGCCACTCCATAAATAATCATTTCCCAAACACCGACAAACAATTGTGATACCAATTAACAAACAGTCAACCCCTTGGCGAACTCCTTAAAAGACCAAGTCCCTTAAGTTCTCCATTGAACTTCCCATACTATTCAGTTATTGAAAAAAAATGGAAAAGTCCTTCATGGGGAAGAAAGGCCAAATTCTCCTATATAGCCACTTGAGCTTAGCTCACAAAGTAAGATTGAGTTGTCACTATACTCAGACCCATGAATATATATATATATATATATATATATATATATATATATAACCACAGCAAAAGGAGCTAAACTGGGGCTTAGTTGGCAAACTGAGCACCAAATGGGCAAAATTTGTCTGCCATGAAGGGTAAAGGACGCACTATATGGCTATAGCTAAGCTGAATCTTGAACAGGGATTAGTTCCAGGCCCAAAGGGTATGGAAATAGGAGAGAGAAAAAAGTGGAAGAGTCTTTCCTTTCAAAACCCCCATTAAATTAAATAAACATTTTGAAACTAAGTGGAAATTTGTAAATCCTTTGTTAGCGTAGATCAACAACCTCTAACCATGTCTGAGACAGAAGCTACTCTTAGTGACTTTTGTGTTTCGTCTCAATTTGAAGTGATAAATAACACGATTTGGGTAAAATCATGTCCACCAACTGTATAAGTCTTGAAAAAAAATTTAACCTTTCTCTTAAAACTTTAAAGTATGTTATTGAAGTAAAATATAAACACTCTTTTTGTGTTAATAGCTAGTTCTGTCACTCAAATGGGAAAAAATAAGGGTAAAATTAAGACACAAAACCTGGACAGACCTTGGTTGTTCCTCTTTGAGCAAAAAATACGTGAACTAAGCTTTTGCAAGTATCTGACTGCACAAGTCCTTCAAATGCTTCAGCTTCCTACAAAGATTAAACTCAATGTCATACATATTTACTCTACAGTAGTATGAGGGGAAAAGGGATGTACTGGTGGAGACGGATAACAACCTTCCAGAGTCCTGCACGGGGACCAGCCACTATTCCTGCCTCAATAACATCAATGCAAACTAAAGGATGATAAAGGTTAGGAGCTCGCTTTCGAGCCTGAGCTCGTGCAAATTTCAAAATCTCTCTTGCTTCTCCAAGGGGTTCTAATTTGTTGGTCTTATAAAGACTAGCAACCCATGGTCGCTGGTGGTTCAAGATATCCAAGGCCCACTGGCGTGCAGTGTTTACCAAATCATTTGGTGACACTAAACCATCTACAAGCCCCAAACTAAAAGCTTCCTTCCCTTTGACTGGTTTTGAAGCCTGAATATTTTTTTAAAAAGTGTTAAAAGAAAATAATTGAAAAACACTAAACAAGCACATTGAAACCACACCACAAAATTTGAATACTTTCTCTTAAATTTCCACTAATCTGGTGATATCTGTAAACTTCAAATACACAACTGCAGATATGCTGTTAGACTGATCACCAACCTTGAGTTTGAATATACCATTTTTCAGATACGTTCTTCACATTTAAATAATAGCAAAGTTATAATAAGTAAGCAGAAAATGTAGCATACCAATATCATCTCAAGTGCCTTCGTCAAACCAACAAGACGAGGAAGTCGCTGTGTTCCTAAGACAATTTAAAATCCAGGTTAACAATACTAAAGAAAAAATAGTGATGAGGACAATTGGTCACAAGACATTCCCGGTTTCTCTTAGTCTAACTTCTTTTTGCAAATTATTCTAGCCGTGCCACAAGTGCGAATTAAGGTATTTAACCAAACTTTTAGTTAATTCATAACTTCATTAAAAGCATGTAAAACTTGAACATCAAACAGCTTTCCTCAGTAGCTCATGTCACTCAAAAATTACCAGTAACAGTGATTATGAGTATATTTTCAAAATAAAGAATAAAAAGAAAAGGTTATGTATAGAAAAGCATTTATTTGAATTCATACACAAAATACGGGTTAATTTGATTTACTACCTCCAAATCCAGGAATTATTCCAAGCTGAAGTTCAGGCAAGCCTAATTGAGCAGTTGGAGTTGATAACCGAGCATTGCATGCCTAGATGAGAAAAAATTGGTAAATTTTGTAGAAAATTATGAGGAAATGTTTCTTCCTAATTAGTTGGTAATGTGTACCATTGCAACTTCTAAACCCCCACCCAAGGCAAGGCCATCAATGGCAGCTACTGATGGTTTCCTAGCAGCTGAAAAATGAAGTGAACAAATTTAACATAGCACTAAATCAAGAATGTTAAAAATAAAGAACTTCATAAAACAAATTACCTTCAATAGTGTCAGTGATGATTTCTACTGATACCCAACCAGGTTTTGGACGCTCTATAACCGGGGAGAGGAAAGAGTTAGAAGATGAGGATGAATGTTAACTTTTAGAGTTTAGAAAGCCACCCAAAATTGTGAAAGTACCCTTTGCCTCTTGAATGCGACCAAATGCAGAAATATCAAAGCCTCCAGAAAATTTCCCCTTTGCACCTAATAAAAGAAATATAAGATTCAGTTATGATTCTGTGGCTATAAGCTAGTTAGCCAAGAAATATCTTTGGTGAAGCCCAAAAATAGCCTGCTGCATCATTTTTCTTTTCCCTCTTGTTCTTCTTAATAGTACTTAGTTCTTTACAGTTTGAAAATTTTGTGTTCATCAAAATGTAAACATCATGTCATAGGAGTTAGCCCAGTTGAGGAGTGACAATGACTATTCTAGCTGGTTGAAAGACATCACTGTTATTAACATTTGTATGATAGAAATTCATTTGATAAAAGACTCTTAATTTGATCAAGGATAAATATTTCATTGGATAACATCCTAAGTTGTCAGTTGGTCATTGCTAATGGAGGATTGGGACGTAGGTAAAAGGTCATATGTTCAAGTGGTTGCTATTGATCGCATTATCTTTTTCTTATTTCAAAGTTTTGGATTTACATTCATCCCTTAGAACAAATGATCTCTCAGAAATTTATTTGTTCTCCACTGTCCACTGCCAAATCAAGGTTGCTGCTTTCAATATCAAATCCTACCTAATTACTAATAGTATCTTGTTATATTGCAAACTTAATTGCTATCCCTTCCCAGCGCCAAGCTTAGAAACTGTTCAGTTCAAAAAGCAAACCACAATACCTGTAACAACAATTGCCTTGACATCATGTCTCTTTATCGCCTGATCAAAACTCTCCTTTAAACTGCGCAATACTAGAGACAAAAAGAGACACGGGAAGACGCATAAGCTACATTAAGTAATAGAAAAACAACATTAAAGAGAATATAGAATGATACTAAAAAATATGTACATGGAGACAGACATCATCGTTTCACAACAACCAGTGGTATTAATCTAAAATGGTTAATTTCACCGAGGAATCCCAAATCCGTTATATCAATATACAAACTTTGGTAATACTATCACATGAAAGATCAGGGTGACAACACGCAGTCCATATAATTTAGTGTGTATGGGAGATTAATTTTCAATAAAATTGATCTTGAAGTGATTCTAAAGCTGTTTAAAGTTAAAATTAATTATGTTTTTATAATGAATTACTGAACCCGCAAGGAATCATGTCATGATAAAGTTGAGTTAACTAGTAAGGGAACGAGAAATCAAAGACGCAGGATGAAGAAAGCGTTTCCGATGCGATACTGAGATGGAAGAAGGGAAAAGGAGAAACGAAAGTGTATACCATCAAAGGAAAGAGAATTGACGGGAGGATTGACGATGGTGATGAGGGCAACCCCGTCGGGTCCAACCTCCATGTGCGTGTGCCCTTTCCAGCTACCCATTGTGCTGCGATGCGATTGTTTTGGTTTCGGAAGATTGAGATTTGATTTGAAGAAGAAAAAGAAATGAAACGAAACAATAGGAAGTGTCGTGAACGGAACGTCCTGTTGAATAGGAAAAACTTGTCTAACCAAATGATAAGAAGCATGTATATCACATCATACTATTCCGTCTTTATCGCAATATTTATACCTATAACTTACCACCATTTCATTTAATACAAATTATTTCGTATATTAAATTCATTAATTTTTTACATAATTATTCTCATTTATGCTCATAATGATGCTTATTTATAAATTTTCAAATGCTTTCCTTCAACACAAACATTTCAAATATATAATGAAATGCAAAATATAATGTTCATTCAGCCAAACTGAGACAAACAGATAAGATGAGGCAAGATTGATATTTCCAAGGTACATGCATACTTTCCAACAACGTTTTCTTTGCTATCCTGATGTTTGCCATTATATTGTTTACAAATTATAATTATAAAACTATTACTATTATTTAAATAAATAATTTTAAATTATACTTTTTCAAGAGAGTATTCTTTGAACTAAAGTAATCTATTTATAAGGATTGACAATGAAAATTATTTAATTAACTATATGTACTTACCTTCTTCTTTTTTTACTGATATTATTATGATATAAGAATTTATTTACGTATCAATAATATTTGCAACTTAAAGTTCAGTAGTTAATGAAATTGAAGTTTTAATTCATTTGGCATAAGGCTTTCCAAACATTCATTTTGTGATAACACGTAAGCTTTCTAGTTATTATTTAAAAATAATAATAAGAACCAGTGGTCCATTGGACCACCATGGACTTCGAAAGGATGTTTTTTTTTTTTTCATCCCAATAATTTTTTTTACATTCTCATAAAAATAATAATATATATATATAATATTAAAAATATCCTTAAGATCACCTTTCCTTTTACATGTCAAACATACACCAACTCTTTTCTTTAAGTATCATTTTCATTTTAAATTAGAAATTTGTTGATGATTTATGTTTTGAGTTATATAATATGTTATGCATTCAAAGATCCCGTAAAAAAATATATTGGGTTTAGTGTTTTGGATGGTTGAATCTACAATATATTTATGAAAAACACAATTTAGTTTTTGAATTATATTTTTCAGAAATCTATTAAAGGAAACATAATTTAAAAATAAATTCCGATTATTGAATCTAAAATATAACGTTATAAAATGCAATTTGGAAATGCGTTATACAAAACACAATGTGGAACTCATTTTCAGATTGCGCTTTCCAGTAATATATTCCAAAAATTTTCCAGAAATTTATTGAAAATGAATTTTTAGGAACCTATTTATATTAGAGACAATAATATAATTTTAGATAAATATGGGGTGCAGAAAGAAAGTAGCGGGTGCAAGAAATAAGAGGCCAAAGGATTATGGATGGCCTTGAACTAACCCATGGCCCTAAAACTTTAAAGATCACAACCCTGAGACAAAGCACATGTTTGGTTGAAGATCTGAGTGGACGTGGCACATTGTTTGTGAAGCTACCGAGCCTTAAATATACGTTGAATGTTGATGATGTGATTTTGAATCGAACCATACATGGAATGCACAAATACCAAACACGTACCAGGCTAATTAGAGAATGTGAATTCCCTTCCTCTTCAAACAGCGACTAATAAAGTATTATAATTATTTGGATCAAATTCGCTTTTCAACGGGAAAAGAACGTAAAAGTTGGTGTTGAGATATTTGGAAGCGAATGGAAGGGCATTAAAGCCAACAAATAAACTCTATTTCACATGCAGCAGATGTGTGTTTAAGATGAAAAAACATGTATAAATTAAAGAGGAAGTGTGTTCCATGAGCACCTGAGAGGTAGCTAGAAATGTGAAATATGCCATTGCTAACTACAAATGTGGCATTCGTACTTCTCCCGACAACTCCACAAATGCGCGTCACATAAGGAAACTTGATCAGCGCATTCCGTTGTCATTTTGCTTAAAAACAAGCACCGCTATTCCCACCCACAACCCCCAAGACAAATCCACTCACTCACTCACTACCCTTTCCATTGTCAAAATTAGTTAATATAATGGTTTAACACTTTCTCTTACCAAATTCATCATGTCATAAACACTTCATTTATCGCAAGCCAAATTAGTTCAGATCAAACTCTACACTCTGTTTTAATTACTGCTACCATTATTAACCGATTAATACTAATAGTACTTGCTTCATTTCTGAGCAATAATAAAGCGGAAGCATTGCAACAACCAGCGTAGAGAATGCTTTCATTCATCAGGTCTCTCAGCTTTCGCACGGTTAGAAGTTGGACCCCAAAAAATAAAAAGCCGAAAGGACATTTTGGCTTCATACTAGGAAGCAAAAAGGACAAGGGTTGTGATGTCATTAACAAAATAAACCGTGGGTAAAACTGGTATGTGGGTGCCAAAAATTACAATCCTCTCGTTTCTGATGATCTCTTCCTCTAAAGAAAACCACCTCCACGGCTTCTTGTTCCTTTCCGGTGATGACGTGAAGTTGAGGAAGATGAAGAAGGAGAAGACGATGTGGGTCTCATTGCAGCCAAAGAACACTTCTCTTTCTGCATAGCTTCTTCCTCGTCCGTGAAAATCTGCTTGCACCTGCAATCCACGCTGCAAAATGCTCTGTCCCCTCTACAATGTTCATGATTCAACCACACCCCAAAAAGAAAAAATAAGCTTCTTTCGCATCAATAAACAAACAAAAGATCTGAACATTATAAGATCTGGGCCTAGAGTTAAAAAATTAACTAAAATACCAGTACAACAACAACAACAAAAGTCTTATCTAACTCACTAAATAATATAAGTTATGGATCACACAACACTACATGAAAAAACAAATATGAAGAGAGAGAAAGGGTACGCTTATTTTTTATTTATTTAGGTTAAAAGGACTCACTTGTACATGTAGATGTCTTTCCCGGGCAAGAGTCTCTTCTCACAGAGAAAGCATTGGTCTAGAAAAGTGGGAGGCTGAAAAATAGAAGAAGGTTGAGGAGGAGGAGGAGTGGGTTTTTTGTTGATGGTGCCAAGCATGATGGTGGTTTTGTTAATGACTTGGGGTGTCTTTTTGTTGATGCAACCTTTCTGAGATTCCAGCACTACACTAAGACCAACCATGTTTCATTCTATGCTTGTTCTTTGTCCGCTCTTCTAATTAACTGTGGATGAAAAAATGGTGGAGGAAAATAGCATAAATAGAAGGGAAGGAGAAGGAGGGAATAGTACGAAGGGAGAAGAGTGGGTCCCCTACAGCTATAGAGCAGTAACAAGAGTAGGCAAAGATTTGACTGGTTTTGGTGTGAAAGAGCCACGTAGCAGGGATTTTAGTTTCCATTTTATTATGGAAATATTTTTGAGGGTGAAAAATTGGGCCAATTTTGTCCTCTTGTGTTAATGTGTTTGGTAGCAGCATTTTGGCTTAGGGTATCCATCATTCATTCATGGATCTACCGATCTCTTTCATGGTAAAGAAAAAGAAGGGAAGAGAGTGGAGGGGAATGAATGCATGAGTGAGTGTCCAGTGGCATTTAACTTTAGTGAGAGCTTTTAGGTGAAGCACTGCATGGGTTGTGTGAGTGTGACTGCATTTTTGAACGTTTGAAATTCAAGATAAACACCACCTTAGGGTTTCTCTTTGTCTTTTCCCCCACACACTTTTTCACAACCAGCCAAAGCTAATCCTTTTGGTACTCCCACACAGGACATGGGAGAATAATGACTGGCCAATGTGCATCCATCTCTTCTTTATCTCATAACACAAGTCCAAGTGAGTTGAATATGGAATACTTCTTAGGATTAGGTTTATATATCTCTTAATCATCATTTACATACTTTTCATATTCACCACAATATTTTATCTCACATTTTTAGGACACATAAGCCTCATTTTTACTCTCTGCTAATTTTTGTTGCCCTTTGAAAGTATATCTAATCACACAAGTTAATCTTCAATAAGTTTAATAATGTTTTCAATCTTTAAATTTTAAAATGAATTTGGTCTTGGTCTTGGTCTTCCAAAGTTAAAAAAAAATATCATTATTGTCCTAAAATTGAACAACTTTGAAATTTCAATACTAGAATTTTATTTTCTAAAAGTAAAATTATTTCTTTTTAATTTAACGAATCTAATCAAATTTATCTCAAATTTCTGGATTTAAAAAATATGATTAAGTCGCATGTTTATATCAAAATATTTTTCTTATATTAAAAATGTACGAGAGAGTTATAATCTTGTAATTTTTAAATATTATAGAACACATTATAGAATGTTTTAAAAATAAATAAATACAACTACGTCTTCTATTTTATTTTATTTTTTATTGTTGCTCATGTCTCATTTAAAAGGTAAACACATGATAGTAAAAAAAGAAAAAGAAAAAGAAAAATTATTAATGTACATTTTTTTAATTTTAAGAAAAAATATGTTGTAAAAGTTACGTCTTGAATTAATATATTTTAGAGTAACAATAATTATAACTTATTATAACGTATTTCTTATAGAAAATTCTTTACTACTAAGTACTAACTTTAAATCATCTTTTTAATTGGGGAGTGATAAGAAAAATAAAATAAAATACAAGATTTAAATCTAGTATAATTTAATTTTGGAAATTAATATACAACCTCCCGTCAATATCTAGCAAAATCTGAAGATGGTTTTATCTAAATTTATTTATTTTAATTTTATATGTTTATAGTATATTTCTATCTTTATTTTTAAATTAAAGTAATAGTTAGGATTTCAATTATGTTCATAATTAAAAATAATCTTGTCTCATATTTAAAAATTATTTTTTTATTAATTTATTACATATTAAATATATTAACATTAAGTTTTAGTTACAATATAATATATATGCAAAATATTTATTTATTATACTTTTAAATTGTATAAACTATAAACGCTGTTATAATGAATAAGTATAGACTAAAATTATAGTAATTAACTTTAAAGTTTAAATCTATTTTTCTCCTCCTAATTTTGTAAATCTATAATTTTAGTGTCTATAAAAACTCAATTGTAATTTTAGTTTTTCATTTTTTTAAAATTAAATAATTTTGATCACTACTAGAACATATGCAATTTTTTTAAAAAATAATATTGATGTGTTAATTAGTAATGGAAATATTAATTATTTATTCTTATAAGATTAATAATGTTTCATAGACAAAATTAACATATATTATTCATAAAAATGTATTAGATTGTTTTTGTTAGAAATTGAACAATATATTATTGTGAAATAAAAATAAATAAAAAAATTAGAGAACTAAATGAATATTAACCTTTTTATAAAGACAACAAATTTGACATCGACAAAACTGTACAAACAAAAATTGTAATATTAAATTTATAAAGAGCAAGCTCGATATAAACTAATTTCCTAACTTGCGGCAAAAAAATTAAAAAATGTTTTAAACTCTCTAAATTTCAGGCAAATTATTATTTTGAACAAAAGTTATTTTAGAATAGTATATTACTGTGATTTATTCAGGGGTTTTTTTGTTTAAAAAATGTTAAATAATAATACAAATATTGAATTATTCTTCCTGCCTTTATATATACGTTTGTATATGTAAGTCAAAGAAGTAAATTGAATAAAACAATCAGCTGATACACTCGAAAGTTATAATTCTATCATTTATGTATTAAAATGAGTAAAATAGACTACCGTAGAAGTATTATCATTGTTTATTTATTTATATAAAGAAGAAAAAAATTAATAAAATATTTTATAGAACAAAAATTAACATATACGCAAACTAATTTATAAAATGTAAATAATTAATTACATATTGATATAAAGTTGTCAGAAAATAAATGAGTCAGTATTTTCTTTTGGTCAATCAATAATTTACTTTCAATAATAAATTTTGAATAAGTTTTAAAACTAATCATGTTAATTATTTATTTATAGTTATACAAAGAATACGATATTAGAAACTTTCACATTTGTTGTATTTGTGTTGGGAAAGTTAAGTCTACTCAAGTTTTTCACAAAATTATGTTATTAGATCTTGTTGTTAAGCGGATATAATTGATGAAAAAAAAAAAGAAAAAATTTTGTGAGGTTAAACCATTTGATCAATATTATCATGTCGTGGTTTGATTATCTTAAACATCAAACTCCATATAACTCGACTCTCAATATATTTTAAAAAGATAAATCAATTTAAACAATGTTTATTAACACAAAATAAAAGATTTATGGAAGAAGGGAATACAATGAATTACTAGATAATAAATTCTGATAATTTTAATCAATTGTGGGTGTAGTTGTTTGATTTTACTTTTTAGTGCATTTTTTTTACAACGTCAATAAAATCAAGATAATAAACAATATTAATAAAAAAGACAACCAACAACAACATTTTTCTAATTATTCTCTTTATTAAATATATATATATATATAGAAATTTATTCTTTAAATTACTAACATTATTATAATTTATAATTAGATTTAGATTTACATTTGATACTTGAAATTTTAGATTATATTTGGATGCTTTGGTAATATATATATATATATATATATATATTATATATATATATATATATATTTGAAAGTAATTTTGAAAAATTTAATAATAGATAAATTTATAAATAAAAATTTAATTATTATATATAAAATTATTGATTAATAAATATCACTTCAAATAAAATAATTATTGAGAAATTTACTAATAGATAAATCAATAAATAAAATTTTTAATTATTATGGATGAAATTATTGATTAATAAATATCACTTCAAATAAAATATTTATCATAAATTATTTTTTTGATAATCTTTATTAATAAGTATTTTTGTTCGTCACTAAAATTTTTATAATTTTTTTTAATTTTCATGATTTTTGACTAATTATGTCCTTCAATAAAATTAATATTTTTATAATATTACTAACTTTTATAATTTATATATAAATTTATTTTATTTTATAAAGATTAAAAAAAATCTTGTTCTAAAAAATATTGTTTTTTTCAAAATGTTAATAATTTATATACAATACATCATGGTCACGTCACAAATCTATTTAACAAACATCAAATCAATACAAAAGGAAAGTGAAAAATTAATTTCATGAATTCAAACGAAGATTTTTATATTTATTATTTTTAATTAAATTTTTAAATATATATTATAGATAATATATAATAAATATATTTAAGTCTTTAAATATGTATTATAATAATATATAATAAATATATTTAGTTATTCAATTATATATTATTATATTAAAGAGACATCAATATTAAATAAATATAAATTATTATTTAAAATATTCTTATAAAAATTTTATATAATTATTTTTTTATATGCACTTTAATATTTATTATTATTTCATTATCATCATTATCTTATTCTCACTGTGACTTAATTATTAAATTTTTTATTTGTGATATTTCACTGTGTTTAGTTCTCAACGTAAAATTACAACTATAGTTGATTAACTTTAATTTATCTAAATTCTTTTATGGATTTTATTGAAAACTATTATTATTATTATTATTATTATTATTATTATTATTATTATTATTATTATTATTATTATTATTATTATTATTATTATTATTATTATTATTATTATTACAATAACATAATCAAATCATGAAACATTCATAATTCATATAATTTTGAGTTTAATCCATTGAATAATATATCTAATTTTCATCAAACAATTTTAATTAATCCATAATAGAATTGACTAACCATATATATCAGAAATGATTTTAAGCAACCCAATGATCGTTGATTACAATAAATAATAAATATGTTTATATCCAATAAAAAATAATAAATCCAATAAAGGTTATAAAACTATTTCCATTATAAATGCCTCATCACTTATTCATAATAACAAGTTTAAAGACACATTACACAGTTTATTCATGTTGCTGTTGAACTAACTTATAATATTCATCCCGAACTTGTAACTCATTCAGAGAAAGAAATGAGTATTATATTCAGGTACTAACTGAATAACAGAAAGTTTTTTTTTTTATAATCACAACTTAACACCCTCCTTTAATTAAAAAGTTTACAAATAAAAATAAAGAACATTTAGGAACTTCCTCATCTCATTCTCTCGTACTTTAAAGTCTTAGTCATGATATCA